TCCTGATCACGGTCCCTGCTGTTCCGGTTGGTTGTCCCTGACTGGCATATGGATCTGCAATGAAAGCTTTAGCAAAAGGTCCTTGAGACGCGCTTACATGAACCATAAGGGCAATGTGCAAAAATCCAGCTGCCATTGAGAAGCACACCCTCGACGCCCTTTGGATACCATGCTGCATGGTCTCAGCTTGCGGTGGGCGATGGCTGTCCATTGCCCACGACCAGGTTTGCGGGAGCCAAGGGGCGCGCGAAAGCACGATCCACAACTCTACTAACACCGGCCATCCCGTGGTGCTTCCGCTCGCGATGGCCCTTCCGACCTGCTTCGAGAATGCGTTTCAAGCCCCGGCGCAGAGGGAGGATTTCCGCCCTTGCCTACACAGCGGTAACGTCAAGTGGACTGAAGACACCGTGCAGTCGCGGGGCTTCAACCGGGTATCAATGGATTGACTGACCCTGATCTGCTCTCGATGCGACCCTGGTGAGGAGACAGCAAATCAAGGAGAGACTGGATAATCACATGTTGCTCAGAAACAGTCTATTGTCTCTCTTTGTGGATACATACTTGGATTACTGCCAACTCCTATACACACTTATTAGTCGACCGTCTATCTAGCCCTCATGCGTAGCAGTATTGTGGCAAGCACTTGTGCCAGGCCAGATGTTACGTGCAGTTTGGCACGTCAAAGTCTTGTGACGGTTGATCTGTCAATGCTACTTCCGCGGGAAGTTGTCTATCGCGTTCTTGAGTATACACGAAGTGCTTGATCATGATGGTTATCATGCTTGATGGGTCCAAGGAGATCAGTGCCCACCTTGTGGCATCGAATCCAAGACTGGACTCTCCAGGAAACATGTAAAGACAACGCGGCGATCCCACAGCAGCACCGTCGGTCACGTTGGCCCTCCCCCATCGTCGTGGGTACTTCGTACATGTTTTATCGATTAATACCAGAGCGACACGACTCCTGCTCAAGTGCTAGCTAGCTGGTTTCCATGATCCACTTCCTGTCAGAAAAGGGCACATCGTAGCTTTGTCACTATCCGGAACGCATCCGCGCTGCTCACCGACAATGCGCGCGAAGAGTGGAATAATTCAGGTCGAGAAGACAGAGCACACCCTGGTCAATCTACACCCTTGCTCACCCATACCACCCCTGAATGCTTTCTCCTGACTCCTGGGCTTCTGGAATGAATGCCAGAAGGGTTCCAAGATGCCAAGACAGGAAGCGCATTGTGGGCTACGAATGGGCCACAGGGTCGTGACTCGAGCCATCACCATGGTCCTTCACCACTGCCGCCGCCGGACTGCATCGCGGGCTTTCCTGATGGTGTTGATTGCTTCAAAATCTGATCTTTCTGAATCTCCGTAGTATCAAACGCGCTGGAGGGCTGCAGCTTCGACCCCATGTTGCCTTTGCCTGCAGTCTGTGTTTGTACGTTACGCTCAGGCCGGTACCTTAATTAATCACCGACAACCCCTGTTGCTGCATTGAGCCGGGATCCCGGTACTGTAACTTTCTTGACATCTTTTGCGAAGATCTTCTCGATGAACCTGCGACAGCGTGCCCGCTACAGACTGCCACCCATCCCACGTACAAAGTATGATCTCTCCAATGCTTGCCAACGAGAAGCACATTGGGGAATCTCCCATACAACGAGGTTGCATTTCTTCTAGGATTGCAATGGTTCGTTTGATATGTTGACGTGCATATTCTGAACCATGACCCCCTCGAGGAGGGAAGAGCAAGGGGCCTTATAATGGCCCGGCTGCCTGCTTGCGGACTGATTGAACCCGCGTGTCAAGAAAGATCGCCATGTCATGTTACAATGCCTGATGCGTGCACGAATATGATTTACACGTGGTCGGCCCAGCAGATTGTATGCAGACTGCACGGGGACATGTCAAGATTTTTTACTCTCCGAGATGTATTGATGACCAGATATACCCCTCGGGATGTCTAGGTAGATGCAGCAACGTCTGAAGTCTTCAAGACCTCGATGTGACGCCAAGTTCGTGTGAGCTGAACTTCACCCGAAACGTGATCTCATCTCCTGGGAGGTATCTTTCGCCTTCCTGGACCGAGCTAGACATGAAATATCACCAAGATGATTATCCCGGGAAATAATTTCCGTCATTATCTGCTCAATCATACTGGCACATGGAACACTTCTGCAAATCTCGCTTAGTCACAGAGCTTTGCACTTTTGGGTGGAAGCACGTTGCCGCGCCTCGTCTTATGCGCTTCGTCGAGTATACCTCCCGGCCATGTCGAGCTGCGTGCTACATTGCATCGGAGGTAGCTTTGCAAGGAAGCGGTAATGCTAAATATGGTACACGGAAATCAGTCTTAGTATATGCCACTTGCGGCTAAGGTAGGACCGCTAGATTGGGTTCATACGAATCCCAAAGACTAAAAACATTCATGATAGGAGATACGTGGGCTATATTAGAGTTATCATGGCCAATGAAGTCATCGTTTACAGTCCCCATACGATGGCGGAAAGGAGTGGAAATTCCTCTTGCTACTGAATGAAAGCCCATCAACTTGTTCTGCCCTGTTCCAATATTCATGAGGCCAAATAGCCAAAGTTTCATGCAAGACAACAGCAATTACGTCGTCGTTTTCGACCGCTCCAAATATTCTCGATTACGATGCACCATGAACGCTTCCAGGTGCTTCTTTTGATACTCCGTGTCGTGCTCTCATTCGTCATAGTTGGACTATGGGATACTGTTGCCGCGTGGTTTGTGCTGATTTGTCCCATGTTCACATGCCGGTCACTTGACTTCAATCTGGTTCATAACAAATTAGTCTGTCAAGTTCTTCAGATCAATTTTCTATTGCTCCTCTACTATTACTACCTAGGTAGAGATTCGACGTCAACTTGAGACATCCCCCAAGGTCAAGCAAGTCTGATACAAACGGCCAATTTCGGGCAACTACGCCAAAAGACTTTAGCGATAATTCACACCGAGATTGTTGGCCGACGTCAATGGTATGAAAAGTAAGGCCAGTCTTTGTGTGGCAAACTCCAGCAAAAAGTTTATACTCATCAACTTTTCCAGTCTCTCAATCGGCTTTCCACCGAGCCTTATATAGAAACCCCCTCAGCCCGTCTCAGGTTCGCTCTCTTCGTTCTCCCTCTCTTCTCTGATTATCTCTGTTGTGTCTGAATGACTGTCAAAGATGTTCTCGCTAATCTTATATGTCATCATCAATTGTCAGTCTGTGTATAGTCAAAATTTCTACTCTGCCATTTTGTCTGAATCATTTCACTGATAGTCTTGCTAGCTGTCAGGTGCAAGCAGAGGCTTCTATGGATTTCAAAATTAATGTACCTGTCAAAGGCGTCGAGGTCTATGAATTCTGGACCGAAAACATTAAAAGTTCACTACGACGCGATCCAATTCAACTTTGATATGGAACAAGTCCACCTTGGAGGAAATTGGGTGCTTCTTGAAGCTAGATTCATTTGACAAGGAGCTACTGATGCAATTATTGACATATGGGGAAGGCTAATATTTGCGATAATGCCGAAGATCGTCTCGACCCAGTCACTGGATACCAAAGAGTCGACAGGGAGCTGATTGCGATTCGCATGACATTATGTATAAATGACCAAAGTCCAAAGGGCGACATCTTGCAGATCCCAAGTCACGGTCTCGGCTTCGAGAGACCACTATTGAGATTCTGAGAACGATGCAATCACATTCTCTTACGTCGCCCGGACTGCTACGCATGTGCATGTTCTGAATTATCTGACCGAGCTCGCCCGCACAGGAAAACTCCTCGAGAAGGCGCAGTGGGTGAATGCAGATGATGACCATGTACTAGATAACGGCCTGCCCAAACCTTCCTCAAATATAGCACAGTACACGGTTAGAAAAGCCATACACGTCAGACATGGCTAAGGCTCCCAAACCACGCACATGGCAGACCAGACTCACTTGCAGTATCTCGGGCTGTCAATGAAAACATTGGAAAAGCAACGTTTTGAATATTATCGGGAGCGCCGCTCGGTTGCCACAATTGGCGATCTCCTGTTCATGAGACGACCCCTCGACAGTGGTAATTCGACTTTGCCCAAAGTCTGGATTCCTGTTCTGGTAATATATGTATATATATATATATATATATATATATATATATCATAGTACTCTTTTGTCGAGATGTATCGAAACATCCAAGCGGGAAATTGCTAATTGGTTTCCTTCTGTTCGTGTATAGTTCTTCAATGGTCAGAGGGACGGACTGCCTCATATCAACATGCTCTTCTTGAATGAAATGTTTCCAAACTCTACCAAGGTGGACGCTTTCCTGCAACCGGACACGGGCTATATGCTGACATTTTTGAAAACTCTAGTGATGGGTATAAAATTGTGTTTGACTGGATGAGGACTGTGGATATTGAAATCTATGATTTTCTTTGATTCGAGATAGATGATTTGCACTGCGCCAAAAAATCGCAAGTCAGTATATCATCTACTGAGTGGTACATGAGACGGAACAAATATTGACTCTAAATTCTTGACATATGGTAACCGAGGAGCGATGTGTTGAACAAATAGGTGTTTCTGTCACATATCTCAAGGAGCGGTACTGCTGATGATGACAACTATGTTGCTATGATATCCATTTTCCGAACGGGCACTATTTTGAACCTCGAATCTAATTTCTTCTGTTGGTTAACAAGTTTGAATTATCATAATGGGTCATTTTGCAGATAGATTTATGCCTTGTGCCGTGCAGCCGAGAGGCTATTTGAGTTTGACCATTCTAAACAAGAGAAGTGTTTTATATACCCTTTTTTTTTTCTATGCACAGACCCCCAGTGGTGTAAAATCACCCAGATCGTCCATATAGCCCGTAAAGCTGAAGACATTGGTACCGTGCCTTTATCCAAGGTGCCGCCTTGCCTTTCATGTCGTTCCGCCTTTGCATGGTATTATTCCGTTTTCGCTGGTGAAGTAATGCCGTGCCGTGTAAAGAATGGTGTTCAAGACGATCCATTCAGTCCCAGCTTGCCCTCGGTCTTTTCAAGATGGGCGACCAGGTCCTCAATCGTGCAGACCTTCAGACCCCATTTCCGCGCGAACCGGACACAGCCCTCTGTCCTCATCATGCCGGGCTCGCTGCGCACGGCTTGACCCTCAATTTCTTGTCCATCCTCGACCAGCTCGCTAATGACTGCGGCCTCGGGAAGTCCCGCCAGCCGGCAAAAGTCAACACCAGCCTCGGTATGTCCGGGTCTCTCTCTGACGCCGCCCTGCTTGGAACGCAGTGGGAAGACGTGGCCGGGTCGTCTAAAGTGCTCCGGCTTCACGTCGGGCCTTGCCAGCGTCCGGCAGGTTAGAGCGCGATCGTAGGCGCTAATACCAGTGGTGATGCTTGGGTCTGCGCTGTCAATGCTCAATGTGTAGGCGGTGCCTTTGGGGTCTTGCGAGTGTTGCACCATCTGCGGCAGCTCGAGCGACTCGGTCAAGGAAGCGGGGATGGGAGCGCAAATGAGGCCGGACGAGTACCGCACCATGAAGGCCATCTGCTCGGTTGTGATGTTCTGGGCGGCAATGATCAGATCGCCTTCGTTTTCGCGTGACGGGTCGTCGAGGACGACTACGAATTCGCCATTGCCTGTTGTGCGCAATAGTCATGTCAGCTTGGGAGATGGTCTTGTGGACAGTATAGGAGGCGCTCGTAGGAAGAAAGCCCACGCGGCTCGAGAGGGGCGGAACGTACGGAAAGCAGCAATTGCGTCTGGTATCGAGTCAAATTGACTCTTGGGAACTTCTCCGGAAGGCATGGCGACAAATAATGAGGGTATAGTGACAATACAGTCTTCAATTCGTAGAGTGCGAGACGATTATAAAGGGTCCCAATTGCTCGGCCGTCACCGAGACTTTAGCGATGCTCGCCCGATAATGACGATAAGCCGCGGGGCAGTTTCGTTATCCGTTGACCGAGGCGAGATCTGTGGAATTAATCTGTAGGAGACTCGGAAGGAACTCGGTCTTTGTTCCAGTGAAGTCGGGTATGATTGGACTGCAGTCGCACAATCTCGGTCTGTACGTGAGAGGAATGATATGGAAATCTGAGAAGAAGTAGAAATATTGTTCAAGTGCTTGCTGACTCTTACACATGCGCCTCGTTACTCGAACCTTTTCATTGCCCGTGTCAGCTTAGCCTGCAGCCGAAGTTCGGCGGGATGATGCGCGGTGTTTAAGGCACGTGGAAGACCCCCGAGATCCCTGCAGCACACTGGCAGAATTGGCCAATGCGCTGAGTCCGGCCTGAAAATGAGCCATGAACTCGGAGCCAGGCCCTGGGCCGCTGACACAGCTGCTGATCTCGGCTGACAAACCTCCATTTCTATTCGTCATTGACGACAAATCGGTTTCTTTGATTTGCATTCACTTTGAGGAATCGAAGGCTCCAGCAGATTGTTCCCTTTCAGCTCTTTCTCGGTCGGCGACGGCTACTGCCGGCGCCTCAATTGCGTTTGTTGCGTACCGAATTTCTAGGTTGGGCCAATTTCCCCCATGCCAATCAACCTACGGTACCTCGCATATTCAGATCACACCCAATTACATCCGTGCCGAATCCACTAAAAAAAAGTAAGACGACGACGACTATACGATAAGATACGACACGACACGATACGCGCTGCACTTGCACTTGCACTTCGATCGCGCTCACCACCAACTCCAACTCCAATGCCTCCACGATCCAGTGCAGCATCGCAGCTGCTACGGCGGCTCCGGGCTGCCGATGCCGCCATCAAGACTTGTCCTCGGGCCGCCGAACACACGCATACTCGGACATTTCGGCGGATAATGCCCCCAAGCTCTGCCGGCACCAGGCTCTTCTCTTCCAACTCCAGCTCCAACAATGATGCGTCGTCGGACCCCACATTCACCACCGTTTCCCAAGACGAGGTCTCACATTTCAATGCCCTTGCCTCGTCGTGGTGGGATCCCCAAGGGCCCTCCAGGATTCTACACCTGATGAATCCATTGCGTCATGACTTCATCCGCTCGTGTCGCTCCTCGGTGTTTGACCAGCCTCCACCCGCCACCACTGGCCTCACATACCTCGACATTGGCTGCGGCGGCGGCATCTTTGCAGAGTCGGCAGCCCGGCTGTCGACCACCAAGAGCGTCACTGCCATTGACCCCTCGCCCGAGGTGCTCTCGATAGCCAAGGGACATGCGCGCCGGGATCCTGGCCTGAAGGGAAAGCTGAACTATGTGAACACGCCAATCGAAGCGCTGCCCGTCCCCGAAGACAAGTACGACGTCGTCTCTGTTTTCGAGGTGCTCGAGCACGTTTCAAATCCGGCCGCCTTCCTGGACAAGGTCACGCCCTTTGTCAAGCCGGGAGGCTGGCTCGTCATGAGCACCATTGCGCGCACCTGGATGAGCTGGTTCACGACAAACTTCATGGCCGAGGACGTCCTGAGGATCGTGCCCAAGGGCACACATGACTGGCAGAAATATGTCAACGAGGACGAGTTACGCGGCCACTTTATGGGCACCAGAGAGGGATGGGGCGAGCCGAGATGTATGGGTGTTATATACGTCCCTGGACTGGGATGGAAACAAGTACAAGGCAGCGAAAAGGTGGGAAACTACTTCTTTGCCGTCCAAAGACTGCCTTAGACTCCCTTGAACAAAAGGTAATGCCCTGACGTTCTGTACTAATACTGTGGCATTGTGTATCATCTGTATTATATGTGATATCCACTATGAACCAAGCCTTCAGCTCGGCATAAAAGTTAATTGATCACTGGGCGGTATAGTCCCCTTGATTGGGCGATTGCTAGCCCCAGCCACCTTTACAGCACCTGCATCTGATTATTCAGTAATACTACCGGGCAACTCATAGGCATTTGGTTACGCTTGCTTTTGCGATCTCGAATTCCTGAAAACAGCCAGGAAGTACTCGTATTAGTAGCTTCGAAACAACACTTGTGTGAAGTAGGCGAATATATTGCAAAACGAATCGACTCAGGTGCTACGAAATGATCTATGTTGGCAGGCAGGCTATGTGGGACGAGTTTCGACAATAATATACACCTTTATGGGTATCCACATATCGCCCCTTCAGCAGGCATAAATGTCACTCTAATTTATAGTGTTCCCTTTCCTAAACATGAAAACTTCTGGGGTTGAATACAGTGATAGACATGTGAATTTGATAGATTATAAGTTTGATCTCCTTTTGGCTGTGTTTCTGGATCATACCGCAATTTGCTTATCTTCTCTCAGAGAGTCGGTATATCCCGATGGACTGTGGATCCGGGCTCTGCATATTTCTGATCGGCATATGCTGGCCTGGCAGTCTTATCATTTCCCCCAAAGCAATTGTCCAGGGTCCCGGATTCTAGATGCAGATCCGACGACTGGACTAGTCTGCATCTGCTGCATTTTGTAAGGTTGCTGCATTCGTGTGGCCAAAGACGTGATAGGTGGCGGGGTAGACGTTTGATTTGACCGCTCGAACATCCTGGACGTATAAGTTGAGTAGAGAGTCGCGCTCCTAGTTGCGATTCCTTTTTCCGTGGAAAATGTCGCAAATCTCTCAATTCGAGGTATAGATTTCTGCTTCTCGCCAATGAATTCGTAAAAAAGCGAGAAACGAAACGGATAGGTATTTGCTCGGCACGCATCTCTTTGCGGCACACCAAACAGCGCCACTGCTTTGCCAAGACTATACGAACCGCTGAATAGTATCTTGGCTCTCAAGCCAAGAAAGCTTGTCGACTAGTCTTGACATTCAGTGCTGCTCGCATACCTTGCCATGGCTCCGGTAGTAGTCTATGAGAAGGGGCCCTCGGTTCCCACCGAGCAGACGTTTGGTGACGAGGGTAATGAGATCACGACAACCGCCAATGGCAATGTTTTGGATAATGGTCTGCAACGAGGTTTGAAGAATCGCCATCTCGTACGTGAACACTTCGAATGAGAGTATAATCATGGTATAACTAACTATTTTAACCAGCAAATGATATCTCTCGGCGGTGTGGTTGGAGCATCAATTTGGTTCGGCACAGGTTCCGCAATTGCGTACTCGGGTCCTCTCGGAGCACTGATTTGTTTCTCCATCATTGGTCTCGACGTCTTCTTTGTCATGCAATCTCTTGGAGAAATGTCAACATTGTTTCCCATCCAAGGAGCTTTTGTGGAGTTGGCGGGCAGATTTGTCGACCCGGCCCTGGCATTTAGTCTGGGCTGGAACTATTGGTACCTCTGGGTGACCAACATTGCTGGTGATTGTAAGTATTACTTTTCTGCCTGACATTGCCCAAAGATTCCTTGTGTCAACACTGCCCTTCGAACAATATTCCTACGCAAATAATGAGAATACAAAACAACTCTGCCACGGGGGAGAACTTCTAAGACTAATTAGTTGGCAGACAACAATATCTCGCTTGTACTCAAACAATGGACTGATACGCCGCCCAGCTGGGGTTGGATCCTAATCTTTTGGGCCTTTTTCCAGGGCACAAGTCTACTCGGTGTAGTGGTCTGGGGAGAGATGGAATTCTACCTGGCGGCGTGGAAGCTGACTTGCGTGCTTGTGGTCGGCTTCCTGGTCTCTATACTCATCAACACGGGTGCGATTGGCGGCGAATACATTGGCTTCAAATATTGGAGAGACCCCGGACCCATTGCCAACGGCATAAATGGCTTTGGGCAGACTTTTGTGCTGGCCGCTGTTTATTACTGCGGAACCGAGATGCTGGCGTTTACGGCAGCCGAGAGCAGAAACCCCCAGCGAGATCTGCCTCGCGCTATTCGCCAGACCTTTCTCCGCATTCTGATCGTCTTTATCGGTCTTGTCTTCTTTGCTGGCATCATTGTCCCGTCGACCAGCTCGGATCTCCTCAACGCGAGCAGCAAATCTGCCAAGAGCCCCTGGACCATTGCTCTGGTGAATGCGGGCTGGAGCGGCGCGGGCAACCTGCTCAACGTCATCATGATTACGGCGCAGTTCTCGAGCGTCAACAGCGGCATATACATTGCGTCACGGACGCTGGTGGCGCTGGCGCGCAACGGTAGGGCGCCGCGCTTCTTTGCCGCGACCCTGGCCAACGGTACGCCGCTTCGCGCCATTGTCTTTTCCAATGCCCTGGGTCTGCTCAGTATCCTCAACGTCGCTACGGGGCCGGGCCAGGTATTTACCTACCTGGTCGATATCTCGGGTGCTGCTACCTTCATTGCCTGGGCGTTTGTTGGCATTACCCATCTTCGTATGCGTGCGGCCTGGGTCAAGCAGGGCCACAGTCTGGATGAGATGCCCTTTAGGGCCTTTTGGTACCCGTGGGGAACTTGGTTCGTTGTCATCATCAACTTATTCCTGGTCTTTATCTCAGGGTACTCTGTCTTTGTCGGCGGATTTGCCGCGGTTGACTTTGTGTTTTCGTATCTGGTTCTGGCAATCTTTACAGTGCTCTACGTTGTCTGGAAGGTAATCAAGCGCACCAAGATTGTAGGCTTGATGGAGATGGATCTTGTGACTGGTAGGAGAGAGGGCCTTGGCCAGCGAAGCGGTGTAGCAGCCGCTGAAGGAGAAGAGATCTTGGAGGAGAAGACGAAGATTCGGCCATGGTATGTGAAGTTGAAAAGATTCATTTTTAGTTAGATCTTATTTTTCTGGTCTAGCACTATGCTCAGTGGCCAAATGGGCCCAATTGATGATTGCGCCATGATGATAACAGTGTCACGGTTGGCTTCTCATCAATCCGAGTAACAGCTTCCTTGCTTCATCTCAATCTGATCCGAGCTGCATAAAAACCATGAGAACAGCGGCATACCTATTAGAACATTGTTAGCTTGTTATAATCTCAAATATGATTAATCAGAAAATTGGGTTGCTTTACGCTGCTGTTGCTCCAAGAGCCTCGAATGGCTTGGCCACCATGGCAAAGGACATCACAAGCAGAAACACCACTATAAAGACCGTGATTACCATGAGCCTCAAGCGCATTGATTCGAGGGAATCCAGAACCCATATTGGCGCGACCAGCATTGTCAAGCCAACAAATACAATGAAGGCGGATGCAAAACCATCTATACGTTGGTCTGAATAGTATGAAACATCCTGACTTTCGTCATGTGGGATTGATTTCTCATCTTTGCTTCTCCAGACACCTAAAGTACGAAGACGGCGAGATTTGTCAATCATCTTTCGTAACGGTGTCTTGTTTTTATGTGTGACACATATGAGGTCATTTTTGTGGTTCAAATATTTCTGCTCATCAGCGTCGATTGCCCCGTAGTCCTCCTTGCCTTTACGGTTGAAATGCCATTTTTCAATATTCTTGATGTCGCTTGTAGATGCTGCAGGGTACTCGCGAAGCCTGGATTGCTGCAACACGATTTTATCTTGGTTTCATTAGATGTTACTCGTTGAGGATGACCAGAGATTCAAGAATATGACAGACTGTATCGGTATATCTCATCGCTGATATCATTCAATAGAAGCCTCCGCTCCTCCAAGTCGTCGCGTATCGTCCCGTTATTAACATCTGGTGCGTCCCTCTGTCTGTGTTGCTCGTCGATTTCAGCGAGCCTCTGCTCAAGCTCCGATATCTTGTCTTGCTTTACAAGGGCGATCCGGGTATTCAAAGCATTGAACCGTCGCAGAATGAATAGATCATCATCTGACGAAAGAAAGTCCACGTAACCTTTATAGCCAACGTACTTCCACGGTTTTGACTCAAATTCTCTGTCTGCCGACTGAGGGACTTGCTCATGTTCATTCAACTCAACATCACGTGCCGTTTCCGATGATCTTGTCGCGATGGACTCCATGGTTGATCTTGTCGAATAAAATTCCTATGAAAAAGCTCTATGGAATCATTGCCGACCAAGCACTGAAAGACTGTAAAGTCTTCATGGGCCATGGGTTGAGATATGCACGAACATGGCCAAATCTGCCTTGCCACATTGGCCCCGCACCTGAACGCCCAGTGCATGCCTTCGCTTTGTCGAATCATAGTCATTCCCAAATTGAACATGCATGCTGATTGGCAGAGCCCGCCTCACTGCATTGTCAGGACGTAATGGCTTGCAAAGGCAGATTTCAAAGTGATTTCGCACAAAACCCTCAGTGCTTCTTCTTGACCGTTTAAGGATTTTTCTCGTCCGAACCAACAGCCCGCCTCCTCTAAGCAAAGGTCTAAAGTCTGATTGTGACTGATATTATACTAAATCGCTCCCAAAATTCTGATACACAATGGATCATCAAAGTAATCCTACCGCTACTCGACAAGTAGGCGCTACCAAGCGACATTGCGGCCCAACAGAGCTTAAGGCAAGCAGAAAACCCCCAGCCGACACGTCGAGCGATGGGGAGAATGTACCACTATCAGAGCCGCCGATTCGCCAAGTGCCCGTCAATGTCACCCGAAGGACAGGACCAGCAGTCACAGTACTACCACCACCGAGCAATAGGCAGCAGAACAGCGGCAGACCCGAACGTCGAGTCACACGCAGAGATCAGAAGCGTCGAGTTGATGGTGGAGAGGATAGCGACAACGACTCAGACCGAGACGAATCAAAGCGGACTCATGAAGCAGACAGCGGTTCTGGCATTCCTAAGAAGAGCTCGCACGAAGAACAGGACGACGCTGAATCATTGATCGCGGCGACCCTCGCGAGAGAGCGCCTCGAAAGAGAGGAGCTTGAGAGAATGAATCACGCACATGCCCTTCGGAACCAAAAACACGCAATCCGGATACGAGATGAAGCCTTTTCTGACATAATCGAGCATCGCCAGTATTGCAGACAAGAAGCTGCCGAAATCAAGTCACGGCTCATTCAGTTTCGCGAACAGTACTATGACTGTCCACAACTTCGCAGAGCTGTGTATCGTCAGCAAGAACTTCTTGATGTCTGCCTTCAACAAGGCCTTGAAAGCGCACGCCTATCGCGTAGCAGAAAGTTGTCAAACATATCGGCTCTCCCGCACAGACTTTTTCTAGAAGCTCTTGTTGTCGATGTTCTTGAAGAAAATATTGCAGAACAATATGACCAATTCGAATCTATCAGAGATCTTCCTCATGATGTGCTTTCGAGTGCGCTTACCAGTCTTTGGCAAGAGCGGGTCGTTCCCATCATCTACTGCGAGCTTGCCGATGCAACAGATCAGTTTATAACGGTTGGCGACAACAACATCTTGAATCCAACCTGCCAGGAAAATGTCAGAAAGAGCATTGCGGCGGTCGTTCAATCTACGAGGCGGAAACTTATCAAATACTGTCGTTTCGGCTCCATCGAAACTATGATTGATGTCATCGTCAATCGCTTCTGGGACAAGGTTATTTCCAGAATGTGGGAAGCCGCCATGTCAACGTCCAGAGATAAATGGCTCGATGAGGGTTTGGGAATGATCACATTTTGTGGGAAAAAGAAGATTGGCGGGAGTCTGACAAAACCCTACATTGCATGGCTTACCCCAGGGATTGATGCCCAGTTGTTCGATGATCTCTTGAACAGATGGCACGAGCGCGAACTTTCTGAGTGGCAAACTCCAGAGCCAGATTTGCGACAAGAGTTCTGCGTGAACTTGACGGAACCACAAACCGTATCACTCGTAACCGCGAAAGGCAGTTCTATCAGAAAACTCGAGCAGCTTACCGAGACAGACCTTGATAGCTTTGGGTGGATCAGAAGTCGAAACGGGCACAAATTATGGCGTTGTGAGCCTACTACTGACGGATGTGACATTTTAAAGGTGAACGTCGATGGTGAGGTCTTAGGGATGTTCTGCATGCCGCGCCATAGCGACAAATGGGTTGTAGTTGAGGATAGAGAGAAGACTCTCTCCAAAAGGCCCCTTGAAGAGGAGGAAGAATATGCATTGGGACTCATAGATTAGCACCATTTTGAGAGGGGGTGACTGAGGCAACATTATCCCCTATAGTAACTCTTTATTGTTCGATGCACAAAGTGAAAATCAACATATGGTAACTTATGGATCAATGAGTGATATATTAAATTTGAAGATATTGTTTGGTTCTCTGGACAGATATGTCAAAAAGTTGTTCCATGGTGCTGTATGCTTTTATAAGCAAACTTCTGGCATGGCAGGTGCGTATACTGTGCAATATACTGAAATGCCACATCATAGATGATTATACATTTAATTTGAAAAGCCTTTGAAATAAAGCTGCTTGCGACAATTGGAATGGCAGCTCATTTGCTTGGTACATAGAGTAAAAGAAATATCATGGTGGGAAGTATCTTGTCTGTTGTAATCCGGGTAGCTGGAAAAGACGAGTCATGGAAAAAGAAGGGGGTGCAAGCTCAATGAGAATTTGTATTGAAAGATTATTAGCCCTAGAGATGATCAGTGAGGTCTGAAACGTGTTTGTTGTTATTTATTTATGGATCTCTTGTATCTTGATGTACGTTGATAAAACATGACATTTAAGCCTGCAGTGTCACTTGCCTAAGAAAAAGACTCCGGCCAAAGTTCATACCGTGTTGTAAATGATATTTGAGCAAATCTTTGGATCACCGTAAATTACGAACTTTACAGCGAATAGATTGTGTCACCCACTAAATATAAAGCATGTATGATATCTCAGCGAGCTCGACCAGAGTCACGGCGAAGTGACTGGATGCAAGGATTTATGGATACAAGGCGCCAGAAGCCTGGAGCGGGCCCCATGTCAGTAGGTACTCCGAAAAAAATTGTCAGTGTTATTGAAATAGAGACGGCGGGCCGCTTGAGGGTGGCGCCGGCGACTTTAAACAAGCGCCCAGACCAAATTTATCGAAATGAGCATCATAAAGGATCCATCAACCCAATCGACGGTCGGCCAGATTCAGCTTCGCTTTAGGCTGACCCCTGCAATCCGGCGCTTCTGCCTTGCCTTGTTTCTTGTTGGATCGGTCGGACATTTGCGGCACAGTCATTCCTGATAAATGCAGAATGAGCCAAACATGCCTGCCCGGCCTTTATCTTTCAGCTCGTTCCCTCTTGTTTGGGTCAGCGCAAACACTTGACAAAGTGCTCGACTTTCTATGATGGCGCCCCGTGTAGCTTTGGGCGCGAACGCGCTCGCGGCTACCATCCTCGGCCTGACCATCGGGTACGGCATCAAGTTCGGCCAGACGGTGCATGTTGACGGAAGCGCCGGGGCCATTGCGCAGACGCGGTGCTTATTCATTGGGGAATGCAAAACCGTCGACGTCGACCACTGCTTCTGGAGTTCTCAAGTAATGATCCTGGCGCTGGCGCTGGGCGGCATTCTCGTGGGGGATTTTACGCTCTGGGCCTTTTCGCTACACTCCAAATACATGGATGAGTACGCCCCAGAGTGTCTTAAAAAGGGACTCTTTGCCCGGATCTTTGGGCCCAAACCGCAGCGACAACGGGTCGAGGAGGAAGCAGGTGATACAAATCCAAACTCTGGCATGCGCAGCCACGAATCTTCTAGCCTATTCACGACCGTCCTGGGCGCCTTATGCTGCGTGTCGGCACTCGCCCTCTTTGCGCCGCACAAGACGAATTTCACCAAGGGTGGCGCGATAACATCGTACTCTACCGAAGACTATCTTTCTTTGAAGTCTGTCGTCTCCTCTGAAGGAGTTAGAAAGGGCCTCAATGATCTACTGGTGGATAGTGCGTCCGTCACCAAAGACGCTGCTGTAGCCTGGCTGGGCTCAATCAGCAGGGAGAAATACGTCCGTGAACGACACCAAGGCCAAACTGAAGTTCGTCGCACTTATCGGATAGGCGACACGACGTACCAGGGTATCAGAACCAATGGAATTGGCGTAAACATGGCCAGCTTCCAAGAGTATTTCCTTACTGGGCTCGACAAGGATCGCATCTTGCGAGACCACGGGTATAACACTTCCTGGATCAACGCACCAGACTATCGATTTGGCAGTCTGGAGGCGATGGTCTATGGCACTGAAATGACGGTCGTCTGCGAAGATGTGACCAATAAATTTGACGTTCAAGCGGGCCTGGGAACTGTGAAGCATACAACTTCCAAGCCTGGGTCGAAGCCCAACGCGACGCCCCTTGCGGTAGCATACGATGTTTCCAATTCGCAACTTGGCATATACTGGCACATCTTCCACGAGCTGGGTCAAGACTTCAAGGTCACGCCATATCGCAAGGTTTTCAGCCCAGAACAATATATCGTCATCACGGACTCGTCCAAAAAGCTCTTTCAAGATGTTAGTGTACTAGAATGTTCTTACAAGGGCGACGACTTTGTGACGAAAATCAACATGCGACCTGACGGTATCGAAATCCGCGGGCGGGATACGAACCGCAACAAATTGAAAACTTCTCACCTCAACCTGGTGAATCAAGCAATCTCACCCGTGCTAGAGGATGCAACTGGACCTTTGCAGCATGCTCTCAAGGAAGCACGGGTAGCATGGGCTGGAAGGCGCGGGCGAACACAATACGACAATTTCGTGATGCTGTCAATGGTCCAAGACGTTCTTACAGATTTGGCGTCGGGATATTGGAGTCTGATGCGCCAGCAGATTGAGACGTCTATGGGCCTCCCATCTGCCTTGCTTGACAGCAAGCGCCAAAAACAATACGAGAAACTTGGATTATACAATGGGCACCTTCACGGATCCTACACCCGACTTGGCGGTTCCCTCTGGGGATTGATCCTGCCGTCACTGCTTCTGGTCCTCCCGCTGTTCTCCCTGTGGCGCATGCTGCTGGCGCTTTTCATTGACAAGATTATTGACTTTCGTGCCCGACGAGAGAGCGGCTCTACTTATTGGCAACCCCTCTTGCAAAGCGATGAGGAGGTTGTCGACTACTATGACGTTCCGCCTCCTATGCCGCCGCCCAAGGACGACGAGGAAGAACCGCCGCCGCCATATGCAAGTGAGAATGGCGAAATGTCTGCTCAAGAAGGCGTGGGGCTCTAAGCATTGAAGGAGCGGATAGATATAGCATGTAGATATTAGCAAGGATCGGTGGAAGAACACCGAAATGCAATAGATTTATTTTGTCCTACCAAGACAAGAAAGTGTATTATTTACAGACGTGATTGGGTATCTAAAATGCTGCATGTAACAAAATATTCACAATGGTCCTTATTCCTTGAATTTGGCCGGGTTACTGGGTATTAGACGTCTCAGAATCTCGATTTGGCGGGTTTGTGCTCTGAATTTGAGCTCTGCAATATCGCGTCTGTCCATTCGTCTCGAGCCGTTGGAGTAAACCACCGTATTGTCTGGTACCGTCTCTCCAGGCTGTATGATGCTCTTGGCTGTGATTGTGCAGTGCTGAGGGATAAATCTTAGCAAATAAACTTTTTTTTCCCCCTTGCTTGCAGCCAGACTTGCATCATCTTGCCAAACGTACCTTGCCAATCTTTGCCCCTCTGCCTATTCTGGCACCAATACCCACGACAGTGCCCTCACCGATGGTTGTTTCTCCAGACTCGATGATTGCGGACACTTCGATCGTCACATAGTCGTCCATGAGCACGCCGAAAGAAGCAGAAGGTTGATTGGGTTCGGCGACACCAATCTGAGTTCGCTCGTGTATAATACATCGCCGACCGACCGTCACCCTGCCCTTTGTAGAATCGAAGCGCGCACGGGGGTGAATGACAGATTCGGAGCTGACGTTGATGGTATGGTTTCCAGCCAGGATAGCGGTATCGGAGATGGTGATAGAGGACGAAAAGTTCACAGGAGCCTTTGGCCCCGCTTGGCCTCTGGGGAGAACAGATTGGCGTTTGCTCGAAGCCATCTTTGCTTTGCTTTGCTTTGGCAGTGTCTAACCCTGATTCTTTCGAGTTCAGTTCAGTTGTTATTGGTGGTCATAAAACGGCTCCAAGTCGCGCGAAATGCGGGCCCCTCTCGGTCGTGCTCGACTAGCAATGAGACGGTAGGAATTATGCTGCACAGGCTGCAATCATCTCCTTGGATTGGCGATTGGATACAACTACTGGTGGTTGATCAATTGTGCGAGGGGCATCGTAGTGGTGTTTGCTGGTTCGCGTCGACGCCCTCGATGCCCCTGACGCCAGCACCAACCAACACCTTCACCAAATTGTGGTTTGGAATCTGGATAGCGAATATGAAATTCCTCATTGGCAGCGAGCCACACTTCGACAGATGCATGACTTCATTGTAAGAATGGTCAAAGCTCCCGGTCGCCACGGCTAAAACCCGAGGAGGACACCCGCGCCCCACCTCCAGCTCGTCTGGCCAATCAAGGGCTAGATTATTCCACCCGTCCTAAACTCAGCATCTTGAACGACTTCCAATCTTCCGCCTTCGATTAAAGCACTCGATTGCCCATTGCCATCCACCTCTCCACTCTAGAGGCTCAATCGAGCGCCAAACCAAACTTCCACGATGTTGTCCAGGACTACAGCACCGTCGGCAGTCTCTGCCAAGGCATTGTCGCGTGTCGCCCTGCCCTCTTGCAGCCGCCTCTCGACTCCCACAACATCCGCTCCCACACAGACCCGAACGTTCGCGACCGTCCAGGACGGCACCCCCAAGCGCACCTATGGCGGCCTCAGGGATCAGGACCGCATCTTCCAGAACCTCTACGGCCGATACCCCCCCGATCTGAAGCACGCCAAGAAGATGGGAGACTGGCACAAGACCAAGGAGATTCTGCTCAAGGGCCACGACTGGATCATTAGCGAGGTCAAGGCATCGGGATTGAGAGGTCGTGGAGGAGCTGGTTTTCCTTCCGGTCTCAAATGGGTATGCACTCTAGTCTCGCAAAGATACTTGTAATTGTCACAGGCCTCACACTGACTTGTCACGCAGTCTTTCATGAACTTCAAGGACTGGGACAAGGACACGAAGCCGCGATACCTGGTCGTCAACGCCGATGAGGGTGAGCCTGGAACTTGCAAGGACCGAGAGATCATGCGAAAGGACCCCCACAAGCTCCTCGAGGGCTGTTTGGTTGCTGGTCGTGCCATGAACGCCACTGCTGCCTATATTTACATTCGTGGCGAGTTTATTCACGAGGCAGCCGTCCTCCAGCACGCCATCAACGAGGCTTATGCCGACGGTCTCATTGGCAAGAACGCCTGCAACTCCGGATACGACTTTGATATCTACCTCCACCGTGGAGCTGGTGCCTACGTTTGTGGTGAGGAGACTTCTCTTATCGAGTCCCTCGAGGGCAAGCCCGGCAAGCCCCGCCTCAAGCCCCCATTCCCTGCCGCCGTCGGTGTCTTTGGTTGCCCGTCTACTGTTGCCAACGTCGAGACTATTGCCGTTGCCCCTACCATTTGCAGAAGAGGAGGTGACTGGTTCGCTGGCTTCGGCCGTGAGCGCAACCAGGGTACCAAGCTCTTCTGTATCTCTGGACACGTCAACAACCCCGCTACCGTTGAGGAGGAGATGAGCATTCCTCTGCGCGAGCTCATCGAGAAGCACTGTGGTGGTGTCCGTGGTGGCTGGGACAACCTGCTCGCCATCATTCCCGGTGGTTCTTCCACTCCCATTCTGCCCAAGAGCATCTGCGACGATCAATTGATGGACTTTGATGCCCTCAAGGACAGCCAGTCTGGTCTCGGAACTGCTGCCGTCATTGTCATGGACAAGAGCGCCGATGTTGTCCGTGCCATCTCCCGGTTAAGTCACTTTTACAGACACGAGTCTTGCGGTCAATGTACCCCTTGCCGTGAGGGTAGCAAGTGGACTGAGCAGATTATGCAGAGATTTGAGAAGGGACAGGGTCGTGAGCGGGAGATTGACATGCTTCAGGAGCTTACCAAACAAGTCGAGGGTCACACAATTTGCGGTAAGTCTTTCAACATTTCGTTTTGATATTTGAGTTCATTGATACTAATTAAATCTATAGCTCTTGGCGAGGCTTTCGCATGGCCCATTCAGGGTCTCATCCGACACTTCAGACCCGAACTGGAGGCACGGATGCAGAAGTTTGCAGCTGAGAACGGTGGCTCAGCACTGGCTGGTGGATGGAAGGCCGACACCAGGGCGCAGGGTAAATTGGTTGCCCCTGGACAATAGAGCGTTTCTGAGATTGGCGTAACGGTGGTGAAAGGTGCTAAGATTGTACAATCTGGTAAACTACCTGTCACTTTGTACATAACTACGAAAGAATTCCCTTTTTTCTCTGTTCAATGCGTGTAATGCTGTTTATAGATGCGCCAGGCTTTTCAGGGTCTAATATCATGGACAAAAGTGCACTCTTGAAATCGTTTTCGTTTCAGTAGCCTCAAACTGTACTGGGGCAACAAACCAAAATTTCACTCACAAATGTTGACTAAGAATGAGTTTCAGTTTCCCAAGCATAATGCATCATAGAACCCAGACTACTTGATCAATGGCCTATGTTGTTGGCTAGGGGGCAAATATACGTGGAGTGGGCCCTAGTTTCGTTGCCTCAGATCGCTGGTAGCATCCACGTCGTCATCGACTTTTCTAGATCGCAACCCAAGCAACCTTACCCAACTTTGCCCTTTTCGCGTCCCTGGAAGCAATAAACGGAACCAATTCAATACGGATCCGCAGGGCACTAGAAAATTTCCTAACATGGCCATGCATTGTCCCGAAGGAGAGTTCACCAGGGCTGGTGTAAACCTGATATGCATGACTTCATAGCCCGAGTGTAAGTCGATCATGCAACAGGCGAGATGACCACTTATAATCCGTCCTTGCGCACTTGTTCTTTCCTCGTAACATACCTTAACTTAAGTAAGACTGCTTTATACATTCAGGAACAGTAAACAAACCATACAATTTTATACAAAATGTCGTCGATACTCAGATCCTCGCTGCGACAGTCGTCCCAAGCTGTCAAGCAATTCGGCAGTGTATCAACAAATCGAACATATGCGACCGCCGGAAAGCCACCAATGAGCCAAGGAGGATCTAATAGAAACATGTGAGCTTTACCTTTTGCAATTCTATCCAGTTGGAGTCGGATCACTTCTGACCTGGCTTGGGAACATTGGCGTTCATACTCCAGCCGGCCAAACAATGTTCCATATAAGACGCTATTACTGACATTTGGCATCCAACGTACTAGTATAATTGCCCTTGTGGGAGTTTCTCTCCCCACACTATACCTCTGGCAGACACGCAATTCACACTATCAGACCCGTAGCATAGACCACCCACCGCCGGCCGCTCTGAACAGCGACCCAGCCGCCAGGGCGCGGGCCGCACGCGAGGCTCTGGAGGAGCGTGGGGGTAAAGTTAAGTACGAACACCCCGAGGACCGCGAGCCCGAGCGCTTCAAGCCTGCCTTTGGTCGTCAGCACGAAAGGAAGAGGGTTGATGGACCTCCCGATGGTCGGAATCATCACGACCTACACGAGAAGCAGCGCCACCTTTGAGGACAATAATTTGGAAAGTCTGAATACATCAGGTCCAATGCAGAATGTCCATCAGGTACCAAATCACCAGCTATCATATGCTCAATAGTGTGATGTTGGAATACTCGTGGGGGATGAATCATCACTTGTCGCAATCGACCACTCTATGGGTTCATTGTATTTCTTGATGTCAAATGAAGTCATATACCTCATCAGCAAACTGAACCATCAAAATATGTAAAATTTACAAATTTAAGGAGGCCATACAAGTACGAATCACTTCATGCATAAAGGTCATACATCTGCCGGTCACCTTCTTAACATGGTGTACAAAGACAATCCCTATGATTGCACCATTGCTCAGACGCTGGAAAGACGAGACATTTGACACTGTAATTCTTAACATAGAGGCTCGATTGATGTGTGTTGGATACATTCCACTGGAATTCGATCCCGGTACATCCAGTCTGCCACTGGCATTCTCTTTCATGTCATTCTTGATCTGCAACACTCAACGTCTTAGAACATGATCACCAACGGCATATTCGATTGGCGTATGTCGGTAAGACCAAACATGATGTCTTATTCATGGGCTGTTAACATATGACAAAGGACACAAAAGATTTTAGGACTTATCACTGATTCAAATTCTGCCAAAATTGAAAAGAGTCTTATAATGAGACCCGATGATGTCCTTCATCAAACCCCCATCCCTCAATATAAGCCGATCCACGGCAACATAACAAAAGTATTCATCATAACGAGTCACGCTGAATCATCCACAAAAGTAATCAATAGACCCGTCAGCGCACATCACTATAATTGCAGCCATGGTATCTAACGTTCTTCATGTGCAGAACAATGGCCAGAACGAAGATCAATACAGTCCCTCAATAAGCAATACGGACGAGGATGATGGCGCGTACGGCATCTTCTGCTCGCTCATGGACCTCACTGATTCTTGGATGGAAGCGACGAAATCATCCAATGAACGCGATGAGTTGTACCACACTGCGGAAGCCATAGGAGTCGCAAAAGCTCCAAGCGACATTGTCAAGGCCGCTTTGACAGAATGCTGGGCATACTATTATTATAGTCAAGCTCAACTGGATTACCTGCGGACAGCCTCAAAGTTCAAGGTCTTGTCGATACGCACCCTCGTCGTGTGTGCACATGCCAATGAAGACTTTTATGAGATTGCGTCTGCAGAGCTCGACAAGGTCAAGAATCTCGACGCTGAGCTTGCACTGCAGCTTCAACGAGGGCTCTTGTCAATGGGGACACGGATAACAGTAAATATATTGAGAATGGCAACGACTGCTTTGGGCGATGCCATGGACAAGAATCAGAACCCCAAGTCTAGCTCTTGAATCATGATCCTTGATCGCAAACACCTATTCCAATAATATGTTCAGTGCAGCTTGGGCGCAATCGAGCCGCAAATTATACCTACACAAAATAGTTCATGAAATCTACTGCTTCCCAAGATTGAATACAATACAATACAATACGTGTCGAAGAGACCAAGACACGAATACATTCTCCAGCGACGATATCAATAGACATGACCCAATCGACAATAATAAAATGAGCAGAGCCATCATCGACTCAGTCGGATCCAGAGAATTGTGCTAAACGAACCGAATCAATGTCCCACGAGCTCACATTGCTGAGCGTAATTGATGTAGAGCGGCTGCTCAGTAAAGCAAAATCTTTTCCACGGCTTTCAATGGCAATGCTAGTGACCCTTTCGCTCGGTGGATTAGCAATGGTCAAGGAACCTTATTTCATGGATTCTTGATTCCCTCACCATATGTATTCAGAAAAGTCCCCTTGGTGCCGCCGAGTCCGTCGGATACCTTTTAAGCCAGGCCGTACGATGCCTTTGCCAACATAAGATTTGTTGACTTGATTATTGGCTACAAGAGTGCTATCACCTCTGTCTGCGTCTTGGGAATCTGAAGTCCATCGTAATCCGATCTAATGAGCTCATAAATGTTCACGAAAGCACCACTATTAATCGCCGCAAGTGGAAGTTGCTCTGCGTTTTCGGCTGTTCGGCTATTTCCCCCATGAACAGCGCTGATAGTTGTACCAGTGGTGGATGCTTGTAGGTTGAAGCTTGCGACCTTGTCGGGCGCGTGATTGATGATGAAGTCTAAGAAGTCAAAGTCATAATACTGCTCGTCTCCGATATAGTCCCACTAATATTATGTGAAGTGGGAAGGAGAGGGATAAGAAGTTGCTTGAGGAAGACTGTAACGTGACTCAAAGTGAATTTTCTTGTCCTTATTTCTACTGAATACTGCCGGTCGTATGAATGATTTACTCTCATGAATTTGCTATGACAGCATCTATAGCACTTTCATCGCTTGACTCGTGCGAAGTTGCTGCGAGATAGGTTGCATAATTCGCCAGACTGCCAATGATAAGTTGTGGATTATCCACTCATAGAGGATTGTAGACATGTATTGTGATAGGGAAAATATATATTGACGCTGAAGAAAGGCGAATGAGGAACCCAGCTCACAACTGATACCCAACTGCCTGTTGTGTATATGTAGTGGCAGGTATGTTTGCTGCATGATGCATGCGATCCGCGTACTCCGACTGGGGTACTTCAAAGAATTTCTTGAATCACTTCAAGTGCATAACCAATATACGAGGTATAGTATGGCTATGACCGGCTCAACATGACCTAGTCAATGGCTGTAATGACTCACACGATCGAAGCTACAAAGCCTCATGTAAGTTCTATAGCATAATGTTTGTTGTGTATACCGTGCTTGAGCGAGGAACGTGATAAGGATAATCAATGCATGCATATCTGTGAGAGGAGTTCGGTACAGACCTCCTAGCAAGCAACTGCTATGAGTACCTATCAACTAGTATCCTACGCCGAGAACTGAATCTGATAGTCATCTTTCGTGCGAAGCTCTCGGCATGGAGAGACTGAAAATCGTCTACCAGGAGCGCCCCGGACGACCATTGCTCATTGAAGGTGAACTTGGCGTGTGCGAAAATCAAGACATTGGCATGAGCTGCCGCGGGCACATCCGAAGCAAGACAAATAAATCAATGCAGCCCCGAGATAGCTCCGTTGCTTCCCGGGCCCCACTGCGACGGATCTGCGAACCGGACTGCGATCAGGGACTTTGTGGCCTCCCACCCTCCATAGGTAGGTATGCATCATGGACTGGTGGGTAGAGCACAAGGATGACTGGGCAGTCACGGCTGTGTCGATAGGTGCACAGCATTGCGGCTTGCAGAAAACCATTGAGGCGATCAGCGGGCGGAAGTGCGATGCAATGATGGATGCGACTTGCGGAGTATGTATTTCGGTGACACACAAGTCACAGAGTCGAGATTACATACTCCAAACGGCACGGCCAGCATAGCCAGGACACTGTTCGTATAGTCAATCCCGCGAAGTGTGGGGAGTATATCCAAGTAAGCCCGCATACATACAGCCCTGGGCGGTGCATCTACCCGCAAGGCAGTTTGTTCGTCTACGACAAGCCGTACCAGCAGCGCCTTTTCCCTGCGTCCCTTTTTGACTTTTTGCGATTATATCCAAAATAAAATCAACATTTATTTCGAAATTCATGTTATATCTTCAAAACAGGGAACGGAAAAATAAAAAAAGCCACAAATGCCATTGTTGCATGTCTGCCTTATCCGGACGCTTGGGGAGACATAGCCCATGTTACAAGCGATGTCATTGATCAAAAAGCACTGCCAGCTCAGCGGTATTTCAGCAGATGACCTTAATTTTTATGCACGTCCAGGTCAGACCCTCCCCCCTCTACGGCGGTGAGATATCGCTAAGGCGGGCGGGGGGGACAGGCACCCCATCTCCAGCTCATTGGGTGTTTCGGCGCTCACGGGGGGGTTTTCGAATGATAGTGGGGGGTTCTTCCCGCTGAACCTGTTACCTTGTCCAACACGACATGTGACGGGCATCATGATGCTGGAAACCCGAGCCGTGAGCACGGTCCGCTGCTATTATGACGCAAACCCGAGAGTTGCGTGCTGTTTGATAAAAGTCAAGTGAGATGCTGGAAATCCTCTTGCAATGTCTGCCACAATGAGTTGGCACCTTCTCTATCAATGCTAGGTGTGATGACTCGCCGAGACGGCGGACAAGTGGTAAAAGATACGGTCGAGCCAACGCACACCAAAAAAGAAACCTCCAACTAGAGTATAGCGCCCGCTGTCCCGGGGACGGGTTCCAAGTCGAGGCTGTTGGGTTCAAAAAGGCGCAGGTTGGTATCGCACCGCCCGGGTAATGTACCGCGGAATGGTGGGATACATTGGGTACGTCTACTGAAACTTATACCAAATACTGCCCACGGACAACGCCTATATGCAATGCACAGTCGTGGTGGACTGCACGGCGTCGTCGCGGCATGGTGAACGGTGACCTGTTGAGCATTTCCGCCTCTCGTCTCCAATCCTATCAATTTGCATTTCTTCGCCATGAGTCAGAGAGCAACTGCATACCTACCCACCTAGGTATGCTATAATCTCGACCTGAAATGCGATCTGGGGGAGGCTGCAGCTGTACCAGAATAGAAGGCCCGTCAGTCACAATCAAAGGTGCGCCCGGCATCTTGGTGAAAGCACTGCCTATTATTTTATTCCGACTTTCATACATGTTTGCTACGGCAGTTGAGATCCACAGACTCAGGGCCTTGATTTGTTGATGCCCACAAACTAGGCAAAAAAGCTTGGTCAAGTCCCCTGCTACTCTACTAAGGAAAAAAAAAAAAGCCCCCATGAAATCAAGAAAATAGAAATAAAATCTCAAAACTCGTAGTTTTTTTTATTTATTTATGTTTTTATTTCTTTTTTATTTTCAACTAGAGGGGCCAGATAAGGTACTGCTCAATCGTGAGTATCATGTCTCACACTGACGTGGTCTGTCCCAAATGTCTCAACACGGGCACATGGCTCAACGTGACACAAAATGACGGCCGCAACCCCATTCGATCCGCCATTCCCCCGAAAGTACCCCAGCTTTGTCCAGCTACTGGCTGGTTCAGCCTTGCGTTTGAATTCTTCCGATGCTAGTTGGTGAACCAGATCGTTGGGGCCGCCGAGATCCCACTTGGCAACCCTCCATGAATGGGCGGTTGGAGTTACTCTCACACATGTCGTTTGGCACGCGACGCGCTATCGAGATCGCAGTCGAATATTCATATATGGCTCTGCGGTACCAATCTTGGTTCATCGGACTATGTCTTTCAGAGGTTGCAGACATATTGCAAAATTGTTGTATATGCTGCGCAGCGAATGCAAATGATGTAATATGAATCAGCTTGTGGTAGCTAGTTGGATCGCTTTGTAGATTAACTGAATCAATAGCAACTCATGGTCATCTGATGTGTATCTCGATGTCAGAGCTGGAATAATCTCTTTCATTGTATTGAATCTGTTATTATATTATCAATAGTTGTTTTATATAATTTAATTCTATCTTTGTTGTGTAACATATGTCGATTTCAAAGTATTTATGTATATAGATCAATGAAGATCTGGGCCCGTCTTATGGTGTCAGGTCGTGGGCTTGGCCGGCGTTGATAATATGATCATATTTGATAACGAGACACGACCTATTGACGTCCTGTCAGTGAGAGCCGAAATAGTCTCTCAACGCAAGTTAGGTATGTTATGAAAGTGGGCTATGCCGCATCATTTCATCGGTATCTACATTACAAGACTCTCACCCGCCACAAAGGACAGGAAGCATGCATATATTTCTTATAGTTTTGCGTGATAACATGCTTTTCAAGTAGTTTGTATGAGCTAACGTTGTTTCATTCTCCTTCTGAACGCCTCGCAATCGCAACATATCCAAATCATTGACCATTATGTTGCTGCCCTAAATCTTCCTTCTATCAGTCTATTTGCCCAGTGAAAAGAGAAAAAAAAAGTTCCTATACACCCTTGTCTGAGATCATCGTGCAACAGGGCATCGTGGAGCGCGTGTGCTTAGAATGGAGTTTTGTTCCTTAAATAAAAGACGACGCTTATTAAATATCAAGATTTTCCCCTGTTCCTGAATCCCAAAATGGCCGCTATTGCCACTTCTGTCGCATGGTATTTACAATCGATAATTTCCACGGTCTGAATGGATTCATCCAAGATCGAATAAACTATTTCAAGGAAATAATTGAATTTGTTGCCTGGGGTATGTTCAGAAGTTTGGCGGTGCAACAACAGCAGCTCATTGTCCGCCACCTGCCTAGCGCTGGCGACACCCGCATAGCGGCGCTGGCGGCGGATATGATTCATTTTGAACCATCTGGTAAACATTTCAGCCTGGGGAGTCATAGGTCTGGCCAAGGGGCAAATTCAGTGTTTAAAAGTGCCATGAAGCAATTGGCTATTCCATTTCCAAATATCGCACCTCAATCTTTTGGGACTTGGCGTCCTGTCCTCTTTTAAAATCCTCGAGCATTGATTGAACCATATATATTACAAATACTGTGGACAGCCAGCACAGCTAATCCATTGGTTGCCTGCCGTTTCCCTCAGAGGGCAACCAAACGCCCCACAGCGCTCAAGTACAGCGGCCATCATTACATCAGACCACGTGCTCAAAATTCCACAATCCAGAGTGTTTGCAGCGCCGACATCTACGTTGCTCATCATGAGTCAAAGAACAGAAGCTGCACAATCCAATCGCGTTGTGCCAAAGCCTGTGCCTCAATCCCAGACCCAAGATCCGAGGAAATACCAGATTGAGCAGCTCAAGAAGCGATTCGCCGCGCAGATATCGAACCTTCAAAATGGCGTCACAAACGTGTCGTTTCACCTCAAGCCGTCAGATCCCGACTTTCCCTTTGAGTTGGACTATTTAGATTGCGAGGTGCAAGTCCCAAGGCACTATCCACAAGAAGCCCCTCTTCTTCGGGTGAAGAACAAGGACATCCCGCGCGGATTCAGTATCAACATTGAGGCTGGATGGGACAAGCTCGTGGGCGAGAGGCAGAGTGCTACTCTTCTGAACCTTACCAATGCACTGGATAAGAACCTCGAGGCATTCTTGTCAGAGCAGAAGTCCGAGACGGTGACGCTCATGACGTTCAAGGACACCAGGCACCTAGACAGCTCACCGGCAACCTCGGGCGAGAACAGTGTCCGAGAGGCGACACCACAACCTGTCAAGGCGCCAGTACCCGCGAGGCCGTATGTCCTAGATGAGTCTTTCACTAGAGAGCAAATGATAGAGGCCAAAGCTAGACGAGCTCAAGAAACGAGGCAGCTGGAAGCACGCATGGGTCGCATGTCCCTCTTCCATAAATCCGCCGATGGCATAGTCTACACGCTCCCGCTGGACCCCAGGCGCCGATCGGAGCTGCCGACTGAACTTCGCCCTGTCAATTCCGTTCAGTTGATCATTCCGCTACTTTACCCGCTGCAGCCCTTGAGAATTCTGTTGAACGATGTCGAGTCACAGGATGCAGAAGCGCTGGAGGAGTTATTTTTCGCCCGTGCTTCTCAGCAGAAACAAATGACCTTGATGAGTCACCTAAACTACCTTGCGCAGAATATTCATGTCTTGGCAAAGACAGCCCACTCTGCCCTCGCGCGGACTACGTTGGAATCGCAGAATGCTGGCGTGGAGCAGCATGCAGCAGACCTGGACATACGTACTCCCGTGGACAAGGATGGAAAGACTCATATCCAAGTTATCCCGCGGCCTCCAGAATGGACACTCATAGACGAGCATGGAAATTCCGAGGATTCAAGCGATGACTGGGACTCGGAAGACGACTCTGATGGTGGCGGCGTTTTAGTGGAACGAATGAACACGAGTGTCTACGAGGCTGCACATCAAGTCGAAAGTGGAACATCAATCTCGTTTCCCCTCGTGGAACTACACGGTATCGAGTTGCTACAAGTCATTATTCTTGGCCTCAACGTAAAGTGCGAGCGATGCCGGACCATCAATGAAGTGACTGGACTGAAGCCCAACATGGAGAAGGCCAGCAGTTGCAAGAAGTGTGCTACGGCTTTCACAGTAAAATTCAGACCCGAGATGGTTCACCAGAACTCGGTCCGAGCAGGGTTCATAGATGTCGCAGGTTGTACTGTTGCTGACATGCTTCCGAGGTGAGTCTCACAGATTGATTGTATGATTCGGAGTTCTAGAGGGCAAATATGCTAACGTAGAGTAATAGTACATTTGTGCCTACCTGCGGCAGGTGTTCAACACCAGGCCTCGGTCTCGTATCCGTTCGAGGCGAGGTTACTACCAATGTCTGCCGAGAATGCCAGTACGTACTTCTGATATTTCTTGTACATTTGGAATCAAATTCACTAATACAACGTTCTGAACAGCGGAAAATTCACTTTCAAAATTCCAGAAGTCAAGTTCTTGGCCATATCACATGGTGCAGCTTTACCACCGTCCACGGGGCCCAAGCGACGTCAAGAGAAGCTCGGCCTCCACGCCGGCGAGCCGCTACCGGACCGAGGTACCTGCCCGCACTATAAACGTTCCTATAGATGGTTCCGATTCTCGTGCTGCGCCAAAGTGCACCCCTGCGACAAGTGCCACGACGCTGCCGAGGATCATATCAACGAATGGGCAAACCGCATGATTTGCGGTTGGTGTAGTCGAGAGCAAAACTACGCCGTCGAGGCATGCCTGTTTTGCGGCAGAAGTGTCATTGGTAGAAAAGGCCGCGGCTTCTGGGAGGGCGGCAGAGGCACGAGAGACAAGACCAGAATGAGTAGGAAAGACAAGAGAAAGTACCAGCGCGTGGGCGGCAGCGAGGCAAAGAAGAAGGACTAGCTCAAAACTCGTGTCACAAATCTACGTTGTGAATCTGTTTCGCTATGATGCGTGATTGTACTGTACGTACGTAGGCTGGAGAATGCCCTTTCCCACTCAGATGGTCACAACGTCCATAATTGGTTCACTTTCACAAGGGACGGAATTATAGTCTCGACTAATTCCCTAGGCATCGAGCAATGGAAATGCATCGATGACGACTTCCAAGTTGAAGTCTAGAGATGTGATTCAAGACATGTGCGTGTGCCGAGGCGTCTACAGTCGGCGGTTGATGGGACGAACAGCGGGCGCTTAGACGGGAGAGGTCACAAGCAGCATCTACCCGCGGGGACTAGAACGCGGAACGCCCATTTGCGGAGAACCCGGGGGAAAACAGGTGGGTTAGGTGCTTGCTATCAGTGCTAATACCGACAATGTGATTGCATCCACAGAATCGATCATCTTTGTGTGTGCATAATCCAATCTGCTTACGATTTCATCTTGTCACATTTTATCAGGGCGCATCGCCCGGTGCATAGATGACAAGTTTTGTACAAAAATAAATTGTACATGATAAACAGCCGCCGGAGAAGCAGGACTAAAATCATCATCCATCACCTGAGCAATGTTTTTCCGCAGTAGGTAGTAAGGTAGGCGTCCAGGACATCGCGTATCGCAGAGTACATTCTGCACGTCCATCTTGCATCGGCACTTGACGAGAATGGGCCCGCGGTAAAAATAATGGCTCGGGTGAGATTTGTTTTTCAACATGGTCACACACACTCACGTATGAGAATGAACCAAGTACAGGTCTCACTGCTACACTGCCGGTAGACGTTAGTTGGGAGGCTTCGAGAACAACAGACTGACCAGGTTTACACCACACTAGAATGAAACGCAGCAAGGTCCTTAGCGCTTCATCTTTGGAGAAACAGGAGCTGCAATTATTCAGTGGAAAAGAATAAAATGGAATATTATATTTGGACGAGAAGATAATAATAATAAGAATAATAATTTATTATTTTATTTCATACTGGTTTTACTATTATTTCCCTCCCCTTGCAACCCAAACTGCGCCAGGTACCCTTCCTTTGGCCTCGGAAATCCCGCGCCGACGCTTTGGTAGTGAGCGGAGATGGTCCTCGGTTCCATGGATTTTTTAAAATAAGATGACACAGTGATCTTCATATGGTCACAATTGTTCTTTGGTTATGCCATGACCTTTTTTTTCTTTACCCGATCTCGTCTTTTTTTATTCTCCTGCCAACAAAAGATGGGGCTGCAATAAGGCGTGTCCCGGAAGACTACCGAAGTTTCTCCTCTCCCCTAGCATTTACCCACGATCAGATGCAAGCATGGCAGTTGAATGCAGGCATCTTGGCCAAATTAAGTTTGGACCATAAATATACTTTGGTGATTCAGCAGGGAGCGGCACCTACATGCCGACCGACACCTGAAGTAGCCTTGTGGTGGAGAGCATGTTAGCTTGAATTCGCTTCGACGATGGATGTCGCTGGAGTTTTTTACTCGGGTGTCAAAAATGTTGGTGCTTTTACGAGTTGATTGCGAAATGCGAATGGGGACAATAACAGAAGACGCTCGACCGTTGGGCCAGTTCGCGATCCCCCATGGAGGTCGTGGGGTGGCTTTTTGCCATACGCATCGCATGCCCTGGTTCCTGGGAATATCCACCGGGGGGAACTTGATCGCGATCCGAAGCTTCGGGAATGGAGAAAAATAAAATCATATAATACCCATAAAATATTTTTTTATCCCCGAAAAAAATAAAAAAAAATAAAATAAAAGCCAGTCATTGATTTATTCAAACCCTCCCCTGTCGAGGCTTCGGTCACCCAAATGGGATTTTGGCCTGGGATGAAGTTGCCGTAGTCTTTTGCCATGTGAAGCAACTTGAACCCCATTACCCTAGCTAGCAGCCGAGGGTAAGGTACGGAATGGGATCCGTGCAAATAGCAGACATTCGATTTCCCATGGCTCGAAACAGGAGATACGCAATAGGGAACGCGTGGATGGCTTTCATCAGGGCATAAACATTTAAACCCAGACGTAGAGAGAGGGGATGATTGCGGAGGGGGCTTGCTTTCTCATGACCAACTGACCCATGCTCTTTCTCTCTCTTTTCCTCTCGCGACGCAAGCCACTCGCAAGTTTAATGTTACACCCTGGTTCGGCCCGACGGGTTGGCTCGCGCTGAAGGATGCCTTATTGAAGCCAAAGTTGAGGTTGGATTCAGCAATACCATGTGTCGTCAACTTCTTTGGTTGAACAAGAGATGATGAGGCAGAGGACTTTATTTTCTTCCTCGCATGATCTATTTCCACTACAGGGTAAAGCCTGACATCCATTTCTTGTAGCCTTTTCATATTTCGAAAGACTTGGTTTGGCCAAGCTGTCATGGCACACAAAGTGTTGAATATCACGACATTTCCCGCTCAACTCATGCCAAGAACCTCGTGATGACAAGAATTGACTACTACGGAAAGCTTCAACTTTGATCACGATCCAGCCAGCCACCGCAATGTAAGCCGGACCGTTGAAAAAAGCCATGTGCGCTTCTCGCGGCCGCTGTATCGCTCTCCGAAAGGTCATGTTCATCTCTTGGACCAGATGAGGGCGCATCGCTAGCGGATCCGGGGAAACGGCTCAGTAGACCAGGACCCCGGTACGATAATCCCGGCAACGGTCGTCAACGCTGCACACCGGTCGGCTCTCGCTCGCGGCATCCCTTAGTATTTCATAATGAGCAGGCCCCCTTGGCATTCTTCCAACTCGTCTGCCGTGCTTGGATGGAGAGGAGGAAAAGACTGCTGCGGCAGCATGTTGACCGCAGTGGATCGTGTCAATTCCGCGGAATGGAGCCTGGGAGGGTCAACGGCAGAGGATGCTACGTCGTCCAAATCAAGATAGGTAGCCAACATCACGTAGTATCACCTGGTCCAAACGGAAAGCTACTATGCTCTGTACGCATGGCTGAGCGCCGCATTTGTGATGTGGAATCAGGATTCCGAGCCGCCTTTGGCACTACGAACGGCTTGAGCCTCAAAGAAATCCCAGGTCGCTGAGCCGCCGTTGCATTATAGTAATTCGTGAACCAAGAGTGAATATAGCCCGTTCCTGTCAAAAAATCTAAATTAGGAGATCTTGCAACAGAGGCTTTGCTGCTTCGCAATCGTTCGCAAGCGAATGGGGCACTTATTAACATGGCTGCCTTATAACACTTGCAATTGTAATGAATGTCGTAGCGTGTAGGTTCACCCAGGCATCGTGCTGGGTTCATTATCCGCTGTCGATCTTAGCACGGAAATGATACAAGGTAGAGACTGTTTATTCAGCTTTGATCGATATAAAAAATCACGAAAAATAATGAATAAATATTATATTTTTTTATTTACAAAATAAAAATCCATCTCCCTGTTGCGATCGTGCGTCCTTACACCATGCAACGCTCTCACCCGCTAACACTAGCCGCCTATAACCCCCGGCTGAAGGAGATTCAATCTAGCACGGATATCGAAGAGACCGGGAATTCGCTGACTCAGGTTGGTACCTATGATGACATTGTCCCCTATCTGGTCAACCACGAGTTCCTTGGGATAGGTCAAGATCTACAATAAGGAAAAGCCTTCAATGACGTTTATGCATGTCTATCAAAGCTGCAGCCCTGCAGCTTCCGTTTGACCCTGTTCAATTCTTTTGAGTTTCCGCCAATTCTCCCCCATGCCAAGTGTAGGGCAGCCAAGTGATCGCTCAGTGTCGACGAGGGCCCAAGGGCCCAGGCCCAACACCAAAATCCAATCTCTAGGCGCCATGAATCGGATCAAATCTTAATAGTAGTAGGCTCTTTCTTCGTCACTACCCTATTGTGTATGCGGCGCAGTGTGCCTGGCATCCTGGCAATCGAGCTTCTTGAATATGGCATTCTTAAAGGAGACCTTTTGGTCGCTGATCCTCCATGCTGCCACTTTCCCGCGGGCATGCATCTCTACTGCCGAAATATGATCTGACTTCGGTACTGGTATGTAGGTAGTACAGACGTCCTACTTTTACGGTTTTGAAGCTAGCAAGCTGTCAGATTCTGTATTGTCTCGCTACGCTGAGCCCAACGGCCCCACCCCGGGTCTCACTGTTCGTGACAGTGGTGTGGGGGAGCGATAGGTATCCTAGCGGGCAGCCGGGGCCGCCATATTTTTCGTGTCAAGGCACTGAAGAGACCCTGGAAGTCTGACTCGAAAAGTATCATTGTGTACCATAGGGTAAAGGCAGACAGACAGACATGATTGATGCTCACGACAAGGGCGAAAATCCCCGACCGTGACATTTCTACAAAATGCGCATCCATTGCCCAATGGAGAGCATGAAGCGTGACATTGAATGCCCGTTTCGCACAGATTGGAGAGCCCTCCTCCAACTTGTCAAACCAGAAAGGGCTTGTTTGGGTACTAACTGGGCGGACTTGCTCACTATGAACCCCGACCGACGCTCAGCCTGTTTCACAAGTGACATAAGATGAGTACTAGGTAGTATTCCGTACGAAGTACCCTGAGAGTTCCCCTGAAACCGGGGGTGGGCATTGACTTGACCTTAGTACTGCCTTTTCAACCTACCAAAAGAAGAGGGCGCGCGCCCAACTTTATTTCAATTTCAAGCGGCCTCCTTCTCCTTGTATGCCCCAATCTGGACAAGCAATCTGACTCGAGAACGTGCACCGGGAGGCTAATTCCGGCGACCTGACCCGACATGAGTAGTTGTACTAGCTCGACCGCGCAGCCCCTTCTCCTCATCCTCCTCATTTGGGGGGAGCGTTTTCTAGAAAAGGTAAAAAAACGTGGTCGCAGGCATCTTGGCGCACTGCGAAAAGGACCCAATCAAGGGCTCAAAGTATCTAACCCGCAGGTACTCGGGAAACATCTAAATCACGATGGCTTCACTCGAAACCCCCCATACCGCTGATCTCGGCCGAGCTAACGCAGCCTTGTCACTGTCACTTCATGGTGGTATGTGCATACGTACCTTGTATGTGCCATGCAGCAAAGGTACTAGGCATTCGTCAGGGTCAAAGGATTAAAAATAAATGATAAATGATTTTTTTTTTTTAAAAAAAAAAGAAATAAAAAGAATTCGATTTTATAATTGAAATATTTCGCACAATGGAGCACGGCCGCTTAATTTCAATATATTCAGGATACTGCGTAAAGGTCATACATCCATTATTATCAGTATTATGGCCTGGCAATATAAAAGATGAATATTTTCGGGCCTTTTATGCAGTTGATTCTTCATCGGCTATAGAAACTACCTGCCAAGAATGTGACTTCTATACATTTGTCCATGTTTTCATAATATATACACCATGATAATCGAGATTAAATTGACAATAAATTGAATAAAAAAAAGTAAAACGATAAAATATTCCGACACGAGTTCCATGTGAGCATCAAGCCAGTGACCGAAATAACCGACATACCGAAGCGGCCGTGAATCAAAAACATCAGACGCAACGAATATAGCCCCTAGAAACAGGTTCTTCCTTGTACCAAACGGCAAATTTGTCACCCAGGTCAGTTACTGCTACCTTACAGAGTTCCAGATGAGAAAGTCAGAGGCATCGTCTACAGGCTAGCTAGCGTTGGCTAGGAATTTTAGGCACGTCCCTTCCGCCCGCACCTGCTCCCGAGCCCCACGATAGGATCATTGACAGGCAGGCCTAAGATTGACGGACACCTTGGAAGGTAGATAGGTATGCAAATTCCAACGTGACCATTAATCGTTTTCTCAACCTTGGCCAAGTCCCCTATTTTTTCTTCTTCTTTATTTTCCTTGAATCTGTAATCTCGACACCGTTCCTACTATGGTGTAAAGTACCGATAGGACATTATTGATTCGACAAGGTGCGGAAAGAAAAGAGCCTCGATGCCTGACATGTTTCAAACACTGATCACCAGGCCATGGCCAAGGGGACGCGATAGCGGCAGGCCCCGTACAGAACACGACAAAATGTCCAGGACGGCCGTGCGCCAGCGCCGTGTTTAGCTTTTTGGGATGAACAAAATCAATTTACAAGCCCGAGCGGCAGTTTTATTTGTATTTTTTTATATATTTTTTTATTGTTATTCCATGTGGTGTCACTATCGGAGCCATGGGCGAAGGCGTCTTGCTCTTTGACAGGTCCCTTTGAACCATTTTCTATCATAAAATAAAAGAAAGAAAAAAGAAAGTCACAAAGACGCCGTGTTCGAGTATGCCGCCACTGTGCGTAGAGTCCAATCGTAGGTATCAGCAGGGCTGTCTTATGTTGCCGAACCGTCTGTGGCGTGGCGTCGGGAACCTAATCTGAATCATCTTCAACGTCCGTACGAAGCACGTGGCATCAGAAGATGGGGAGGGCCTCGACGGCGTGGTACGTGCGAAAACTTGAGCCCCGGAAAGAAAAAAAGTCTCGGCGCCATGATCTGGGGAAACGGAGAAACACATATTGCTTGAGTTGTGTTACTTTTCCAGCGTTACTGGCCCAAAGCAGTGGTTGGCAAGCTGAAGATGGACAAACTATATCAAGTGGGTACTGACTTGGATACAGGCGAGGTGAGACTCTACATCATGAACGGTTAGGAATGGTTCATACCTATGATGCATCATTGGTGTATCAACGCCGAACACATGGCAGGCCACATCACGTACTAGAGTGCTTTCATAGAGCACAATGGAGAGAATCATATTCCATCATCGATAAGCTTTTTGTCTGATGGCTAGAACATGATGCCAAGATGCCGTAAGCTGGGACTATAGTAGTTTAATTCCGTTCCTTGATGATATCCGCGGCCTTTTCGGCCACGGCGTACATGGTCATCTGCAGGTGCGTGCCCGGGATAATGGGTATAATGGACGCATCCACAATAGACAGCTTCCGCGTTCCGTAGACACGGAGGTCCGGGCCGACGCAGCCACCCAACTCCTCCGGCATCATCGGGCAACTGCCGCTCGGGTGCGCAAAGCTGGGCCTCACGATGCCTGCTGCAATAGAACCCGCCAGAATCTCTTCATCGGTCTGATACTGGACCCCGGGCAAGTACTCGACAGGCGAGTACCGAGCGAGCCCTGGGAGAGACCAATGCTCGCGCTCTTTCCGTACCATGGACACAATCATGGTGGCATCCACCGGGTTCATGAGCGTGTTGAAGCGGACAATGGGCAGCGCACCGGGATCAGCGGGGTCAAGCGTTATGGTACCCCGTGACAATGGTTTTTGTAGGCTGGCCGTGGCAGAGCCGACAATGGACGGAATCAGCTCGCAGCAAGACGATTGATTGTGCCCAAGGAGGTGGCCCACAATGGATCGTTGCGCCTCAAACCCCTTGAGCAGCGCCGCGTCCTTGGCGTAGATATCTGGTAGATAGTCGAGCGCTCTCTGAGACGTAATGTTTCCAACAAGTTCTTCATGCCCTGCAACCACGCCCGGGAGAGTAAAATACAGAGCACTGTTCCCATTGTAACCTATGAGACCACTGGTATATGGACCTGTGCGGCTCTCCGTGTACTGTTCCCATGCAGTCTCATTAAATGTTGTATTTTTATCTAACGACTGAGGATCGGGAAACGACTGATTGGATATGTTGTAAGACATATAAACCACGGGGTGATCCTGGAAGTTTGATCCGACAGATGGCATATCCTTCTTGATTATAATATTTGCAGCTTCGAGGACGTCCTTTGATCCAAGGCCACTAAGCTGTAGGAGGTGAGGAGTGAATATGGCTCCGGCCGCGAGAACGACCTCCTTGTCAGCAAATACTTGCATGGTGGAGTTGTCTTCTCGAGACTGTATAACTACCCCATGGGCTACCAGTCCGTCGTCCTCAAAGATTATCTCGGTGACTCGGTGGCCCGTGAGAAGGTGCAGATTGGGACGAGTAGCATATGGCTCATAGTATGCAGCTCGCGCAGAGGACCGCGTGCCCGTCCGCGTGTCCATGTCGGTCGGTAGCCAGGACAAACCCATCGAGTCTCCGTCTGCTCCATCTGTGAGGTTTCGCGCCCCCGAGGCGATCCATGATGCCCTGACGACCTTGGTGTCGGGAAAAAAGGTACTGGCATGGCCGACCTGCACCGGCCCGTCGTCTCCCCAGACGGACGAATTCCAAGTGACATCATATTGCTCGGCGATCTCTGGCAGAGGTGGCGTATAATTGGTGCTCTTCGCAAAGTACGGGAAAAGCCCGTCCCAGCCCCAACCCGGGTTACCGAGTCGCTCCCAGGCATCGTAGTCACCAGATGATCCACGAGTGCAAGCCATGCCATTGATGATGGAACCACCCCCAACGACGGAACCGACATAGATGGTAAAGGTTTCATTATTGAGCCAGGTTTCTGGTGCCGAGCTAATATTCCACATGTCGGCTGGATTGGGCACCGTGGTAGCATAGGGGACCTCTGTCTTGTAGTTTTTATCAAGATAGCCATTTTCCACGACGAGCACAGTGTCTACGGTATCCGATCAGACTGATGATTCCAAAGCAGGTAATGGTGGCCGACTCACGGTTAGAAGTCTCGCTCAGTCGATTGGCGACTACCAATCCTGACAAGCCTCCTCCTACAATGACAAAGTCAAATGTGGTGTTGTTAAATTCCAGACTTGACGACAGTGAAGCTGCAATGGGGACCAAGAAAAGTAGCAATTGTGCAAGAGATGTAGACCCTGAAGGCCAAGAAGACAAATACATGGTGTCAAGTTAGGCGCAGGCCAATACCAGTAAGAGAAAAGTATACTATCGCAAAAGAGCAATAGTAGGAAAAGTTGACGAGAAATTATCACAGGTCTGAGTATAAAAAATCTTGCCGCGGGGTATGTTGCGTCCACACGATGCCTGCATATATCTTCGGCTTGGCATGCTATAGATTGCGAGGCAAGCGAGGGTCCCTTGACTCCTTTTCTCGCAGAAATAAAATGAGCGCCCCTCGCTCCAAACAATTCATCCAGTTTCATTATTCAATTGCAGTTGCTAAACTGTAAGTAAATGCTATTCTGATCATTCTTATTGCCCTTGTCGTAGGCTGGCCTCGGATAACACGTTAGAGACGTGCCTAGCGAGGCGGGCTGGACTGGAGCTCTATCTAGACAGATGACTCTTTCAGTCAAGTGGAAGCTATCACAGTAATGCTAGGCTGAATATTGCGAATACAGTTGGAAATTATTCTTTGGCAGAAGCTAAGACGATGGATTTGTGTCCAAAATGGATTTTTACCAAGTATATACATCGAGAAAAGAATTATCTATGACAGTGGTTGTCCACCGCACTAAATTGACAGAATTGGGAACTTCGCACCAGCAAGTGTAGCCTGTTATTGTAACCTGTATTACAACACATGGATACACTTTATTGTACACATTGCCAAGCGGTTTCATCAGTGTAGTTGCCAGGGCCAAAGTACTGGTTTCTCAAGGGGTATTTGCAGTGCTTGCGATAGAAAGTCGCGTCAGTACCATCAGTTGATGCTGCGCCACGGACATAATCTGGGGCGATTCCATTCTCAACCCAGTCAACTAGCTGGAGCAACATGTTGTTCTCTGGTTCAGAGTCCAGGTAGGTGTCCCCGGACTGGCCAATGTAAATGGCCGCATCGCCGCCGCCACAATGACCCATGCTGCCGATGGAGAAGAAGCGATAAAAGTCGTCCAGGTCCGAGGGCGACGCGCTCATATTGTTGGCTACATTGCGGTAGTACAGCTTGGAGTTGTCCGAGCTGATGATGGAGTCTGCGGTGCCGTGGTAGGTAAAGAGCTTGCCGCCCCGGGCGCGGTAGGCAGACAGGTCGGCATCAAAGGTGTTGAGGTTCGAAGGGTTCTGGCTCAGGGCTGTCTCTGCGTCCTCGGGGGTCCAGGTGGTTGGGCCCCAGTCCGGGTCCTCTTTCACGACGTATTTGTAGTACGACTCGGCTGTGGAAAAGGGACTGCCGCTGAGGTAAATACCGAAGGCATCAGCTTCGGCACCTGGGTTGAGACGTGGGTAGTAAAGTTTTCCATCGGGGCCGTAAAAGTCAGATAGAACCGCCTCGACTGTCGCCGCTTGCTTGCCGGTGAGGCAGGTTGAGTTTGTCGACGAGGTCGTGTTGCAAATCAGGGGTTGTATGATGGGGTGGCAGAGATCCACATCGTCAATGGTGCCATCATTTGCGCCGTCGAGTCCATCACACTGCTTCATAATCTCCTCGTGAACTGCAGTCCATTGTGCCTCGGTGAGAAAGCTGTCTGCGCTCGAGTTGCCCGTCAGATAGTACATGTGTAGACCCCACGAAATTAGGTTAATGTTGTTCATGGCAGCAGACCCGGCCAGGATGCCATCGAAATCCTCAGGGTTCGCTTGTGCTGCCTTGTATCCCTGACGACCGCCAGTAGAGCATCCCATATAGTAGGACTTGTTGTAACCTTGTTCGTAGAATAGTTCGGTCAATTGCTTTCCTACCATCACTCCAGTATGAACTGAGCGCCAGGAAAAGTCGGCCAGCACATCGCTGTTGTGGTAAAAGTCCTCGGCGCCGTCGCCATCGTGACCAGAGTTGGCACCAACGGTCGCGAATCCAAACTTGGTACCAAAGTCGACATCGCCATGTTTGACACCTTGAAACAAACCTGTTTAGCAAAACTTAAAGTTTTTGAGAGGCCCCATGAATACTCACATCCTGAGAGACCATTGTTTCCTGTGCTCAAGAAGCGCCCATTGTAATCGCGTGGGAACCAAGCCTCGAAGCGAATGCCGCTGCGATCCGATGTAGACACGTTCAAATAGACACGGCAAACGTCGACACTGGCCGTCTGGGTGCTTTGGCATACTGCGGGAACGCCGTTGTAAGACATGTTGCCCCCGGCCGGTATATACTCGGTGAAGCTATCTGTGGCATTGTCGATGCTGATCTTGGAGGCAAACGAGGAACAAGCAAGTTCGAAGTCATCGGTACTGGTAGTCGAATTGATGACCGAAGCATCAACAGCACATGAAGCTGCAACTATCCCTACAAGGGACAAGGGCAGAAAATGATTGCTACCAAGCATCGTGATGGTCTCGGCAGTTACTAGACGTTGATTGTTTCCAATGTCAAACTGCGCGACTGGCAAAGCCAAGGACTCTATAGAGATATGTTTGCTGTCTTATATACCTGAGGCTCACACCCACGATTTAGGAGGCTTTGAATATAGAAAGATCGGCGTGCCGACTACCGGCATTGGCCCTGGCTCGCGGTATTTACCGTAGGGCGATTATTATGCCTGCTCGTCCAGGCTATTCCGTCCCGTCCCCACAAGACAGCCTCCTTTTGAATATGGTTAATCCTGGACAAGCTGAAGAACTAGGTAGGTATTCTGTAGGTAGAAGAGCCCTTCTGCTATGGTGGCACACTAATAATGGTTATGGAAGCCCCCTTTCAAATGCCAATGAAGACCTGACATCCTGTCGTCATGCACACCTGTATAAGCAGATTATTATTGTTTGCTCGTTTAGAGTAAAAGCCCAAAACGAAGGTTTGCGAATCCTTTTACATGGCCAACATTCAATGAATGAATACATAGTACCTGATAAGATCGGTCTCACAGTACAGGTGCTTTTTACTGGGGCAATCGATTTGCTCTCACGGGATGTGGGGAAACATTCCGGCAATTGAATGCCGGTTCAGGCCATTACAGACCCTCTTTCTTGATGCTTAGCCCATGGCGTCCCTTCAGGATGACGCATCTCGCAAATTGTAGGTCAATATGCCAAGAATACCGTAAAGCGTCATTTTCTTTAGAATCAATTTCGACGCTCAGAATTATATAATTTTCGTATCCGAGACGTTGTTTTTCGTATTCTGCAACCCTTGCCTCTTGCTTATATATTTGAGAATATATTTGAGATTGGACTAATTTCAAAGATGTTGGCGGAAAGCAGGAAATTTTGTAAAGTCGCCTACCTATACTTGTCTTTAGAGACATTGTCCCAAAGTTGACAGCGGATGATATGGTGCCCTATGGGGTCTGTTTAGTGTTGTGAAGATGGATGTATTGGTCAAGTCCTCCCTACGGGAGGACTACTTTCCCATCCCGGCTTTCCCACATACTGAGCAGTCATACCATTGAAGCGGAATATCTAACGAAATGTGCCGGATTAGATTTCTTTGCCTGACTAGGATTTTCCGAAAGTCCCAATATGATATGGCTGTAAGGTAATTCGGTCAAGGTTACGGCGAGCGATTGTCGCCTGCCATTCTCGGGAGACGGCTGCGCAAGAAGCCCAGCCCGGGTGTTTTTCGCGGGCAATCTCTTCCAGAATCATGCATCGAGTATCGGCAGACAAATCAGTCCACTTTTTGTTAGTCCTTGCCGTAGAACTCGAGGCTCCTTGATGAGTCTCTGAAAAGGATTCCCAAGGAAACATGGTGTTTTGCATGTCAATGAGCTGATACTTGATGGTTTGATAGTGTGCAATGTGGTCGAAGAGGGATGTTCGGGAATGGGAGTCAAGGTATTCAGAGCCGGATAAGTAGCAGTGAGATGAATTATGATTCGTATACAGAGAATCCAAATGATTCAGAATAATCAATTATAGCAAGCTCTATGATTGGAGATGGAGAATCGTAATGTTGAACGTTTGACGCTTGGACGCTGGGCCTCGGGAGGATTGATGGCGAGTATTTAATGTAAGAAAACACAGATGGAGAGAAAATGGCAGCGGAAATAACTGGGAACCATATAAAGGTGCGAAAAGGCGACCTCGATGGCATAAAATCTCTGATTGTCAGGGGCAAGTTAACAAAGTTAGGTGTCGGAGAAAAGGTCGAATCACAAAAACCTACTCGCCTCCCAACAAAAAAGTGTAAGTATTCGGAAACAACGAGTACTCATACATGAGTAGAGACGGTACATGGCTTCTCCCATTCCTCAGGCAAGATAACATCAATTACCTCACGTGTTCTAAATTCCGCCAGCTGCTGTAAGTGAAAGCAATTTAGAGCTCGGAGTGGCGCCAGGATAGAATGTAGTCGGCACAGGTGGGATAGTCAAGGATGCTGTAGTTGGATAACCGGCCGTCAAGTCTGAAGGCATATAAGACGTCGCGTAGTACCTATGGGAATTCGGTCAATACAGGTGAGTTAATGTAGCTAGCCACTTGATGGATCGGCTAGGCTCCAGTCAAAAGAAATGATCACTTACGGCTTCCCGGTGGTGACCACCGTGGTGTATGTGGCCAAGTTCTTAGTGGCCGTGGTAGAATGTAAACAAGCACCTTCTCCGTATGCGTTTTCGCAGGACCAAAATACATCGTCTCCTTCCCACGTCCAGAGCGCCACATCCTCCACGGTGATGTCATAGCAGGGCACGTCGGGGTCGCACTCAAGTCTAATGACGGGCCGTGAGTTGACTGCCTGCTGCCCGCGCCAGTTCTGTCAAGTCATTAGTGATGAGAATGAAACCGTCCACAAGTCTCCATTGCTTACCCTAAACGTCAAATTTCGAATCGCTACCCCGGTCGACCCGCGATCCGTCCCCCAGCCTTCGTTGATAGTCAAGGGGTACGGCCCTCCGTGGACAATGACGGTGTCCCAGACAATGTTCTTGACCGTTCCATCGCCGTTGTTCGTCTTGATATAGCATCCGTCTGCCCGATTGAGATAGAGACGGTTATAGTGGATATCGGAGATATCCGTGCCAGTGAGCAGAGAGCCGATTGCTGTGCCACCACTCAAGTTGCAGTAGATACTCTCAATGAGAAGATTATGCGACGGGCTTTTGACGGTAACGCACTCGTCTCCGTTTGTCACCTGTTATTCTTTTAAGCACATGCGCTGAAAATAGATCAAGCCAGTCGACCGTGTACCTCAATGTCATGTATCCAAACGTTCGAGCCCCATATGTCAAACGCGTCCGTCTCTCCAACATTACTCAACCCCCGAGCGATGATGTTGTAGATTTCACCATTACTAACGGTATCGAACACGAAATAGTAGGCAGCCGAGTCAATTGCCGCAAATCCATGGACTGAAAAGTTGCTCATATCCTGAAAGCGGAAGAATCGTGGACCGTATTCGCCGTTTTGGATATACTTGTAACCGAATCCCTGGATGGCGCCCTTGGATGTTCCGCTGAAGAATTCAAAGTCGTCGATGGATCGAAACGCAATCATGTGGGAACAATCAGCGTCATCCGAACGTTGTATAATGCCGTCCAACTGCACGGCAACCGACTGACCGTCCTTGAGCAGCACACATGTGACCATTGTGTACGTCCCAGGAGGGATGTAGACGAGCCCACCATCTGCGCAGTCACTCCACGCATCTGCAAGAGCTGGGCCAATGTCTGATTTAACGTCATCACTGTAGTCTGTGACATCGCAGATCTTGACTTTGGCTTTGGCCTTGTACGAGGTTGTGGGACCAACGGACCCAGATAGCTGGGCACGCACCACGCCCAGAAGGGCAAACATGAAGATGACGGACAGCATATTAATCATGGTGTTTGTCAAAGATCTTGTAGAATGAGTTGTTTCGCGTTGCCACAATCGAACTTTGGCAATAGAACATTTTGGAGAAGAGAAGTGAAAGATATATACGTAGTCAAGATAATGGGAGTTGCTTTTGCAGAATTCGTCGTATTATCGAGCCATCTCGGCCGACACAAGGGTCACGTTTCCACCTATCATATATTGCTTTTTTCGTATCAATATGGAAAGTCAAGGAACCATCGACATTAATTATCACGAAAACATGAGTCGATACTTGTTGTTCGATATAGTTTGTCTCTTAATCTCCGTCACGCCGCCATGACACAACGCATACGATCTTGTCTTTTATTATCCGACATGATCTGTCTAATCATATCTGAGCTTGAAAGCCTTGGTTCTCTTATTTTCTTCTTTATTTTTTATTTTTATTTTTCTTATCCCTTTCCCTCACTATCTTGACGTTTCATTGGAGGAGCATCATGATCTGATCGACCATGATGCAATACGGTCAAAAGGAATGTTGAGTAGGTAGTAAAGAAAAAGCGGTTCATTAAAGCTTACATGTAGCATCTAGACTGCCATCGCTATTCCCCAAATTCAACGCAGTTGCCGACAAGGCGGTATAAGAAAATGAAACGTTGCAGGACCATTGATTTATATGATCTGCTTCTTTTGTAAATACACATTCAAGTTCTAATGACCCACCCTTGTCATTTTCATCTAGCACAGCATGTGCCCCAAGCACTCGGGGCATTTCAAATGCACTTCGGCGCCACATGCATGCGCGTCGATCACCCAGAAGCCCTGTGCAACGTCGGATATCGGTGCAGTTCTCTCGGGGCCAAGACGTAATCACCGTGAAAATAGATCTGGAATGTCATGACATGCATACAAAACCCAGGAATAAATACGCATTTGTCTGTTTATCCCCATGTTCCGGGTTTACCCAAAGTGGATCTCAAGGGTGGTAAAATCTGGGGAAACCGGCATTTGTCTTTGATTGCATAAAGCACGTGGACACTTCGCTACCCACTACAAGTCAGGGTTTAATGTTGCTTGATTGAACAACCCACCGGAAGTACCCCACGTTGGAATCCCATGGCTCTGGCAATGAATTGCCCTGGGCAATGGACCGTAGCAATGTATATAGGAAAACTATGGATTCCTTTCATTCGTGGATCTGATTACCGCGAAGGGAGTGCACCCTGGAGGCCAACTAGGCTGGTTAGTAGATAGGTACCTATCTTGTGGTGTCCTTGTAGAACAATATTTTCCATGGGCTTTCGTACTAACCTGGCTGGCGCTCCGAACGTTATGCAACGCAACCATTACGTTCTCAAAACCTTATAATGAATAAGGTTTTGCAAATTTGCTTTACGCTGAGATCCAAATTAATTGAGAGTGCTTAGTGATCTGTGTGCAGGCATGGCCATTCATCTCTTCAAGCATTTTCACTGACCACCATATCTATATCGTCAGTAACAAGGGGTAAAGGATGATGAATCTATTAATAATACAATCACTCGTCTCTACCAAGTTGAATTAAAGTCATCGGCCATGCTCCCAATGCCACATCAATTAGATAACCACCACTACATGCAAGTAAAACCCTCTCCGGCAGTGGCATTCCCAACGCCATCGTAGACTTGCTTCTTCGGGTACGGACACAAGGCTCTCTCAAAAGTAGGAGTGCTATCCAAAGAGGTGGCGGCCAAGGTTTCGGGGGCGATTCCGTTCTCTACCCATTCACGCATTGCATCAAAGGTTCCGGCTGGGTATGCTCCATTTCCACCAAAGCAATGGTTGACGCCAGGAGCCAAGAATAAACGGTAAAAGTCATGAACGTCCGCGTCGACGGCCGTGACTGCATCGTAGTAGTGCGTGCTCCCACGTGTAGGAATGATCGTGTCAGTCTGCTCGCAAGTTAGTATTGGCCCTGCTGCCATTCAGCATCAATGGGAAACGTCTTACCGTGCCATGGTAACCAACCAACTTTCCGCCTCGAGCGCGAAACTCGGAAAGGTCCGGGTCCCTAGTCCCAATAATGGATTCGTACATTTGCGCAGAGAGGTGGGCGATTCGGTCGAATTCCTCGTGAGAAATATTTATGGTCGAGGCACTAGAGTTCTTGAGGACAAACAGCTTTGCCCAGTCTTCGGCAATCTCGAATGAGCCGCGAGTACAGGTTCCGTTGGATGCGCAAGTTGTTGGGACAATTGCAATGTCTGTGATTGATCCAGTGAGGCTTGCTCCTTTGGATGGACCATACCATATGGTCGAGTTGTCCGATCGTTTCGCACCATCCCACTGATGATGTCAGATTCCCATGGTAAGTATCACGAGGTCGGACATAAACTTACGATTTTCTGGACCAGATCTACCGCTTCTGTAGAAATGACCAAATCAGATCCGAGCGTTGTGCAGTTGATGGTGGTTCCAATCAAACTGGCAGGATCAAAATTGCAGCTGTCTGGATCATTGATAACGCCGTCTACAATACCGTCGAGGCCATCACAAGCGTTCAGTGCGGCGTCGGTAATGGCATCAAGCTCGCAAGCGGGAGGGTACACTCCCATCTGGTCCATGAGGAAGAGTGGCCATAGATCCTGCATGACAAACTGATTCCAGTTGATTGCCGGAGCACTCGCCGCGATACCATCGTAGGCATCAGGATAACGCTGTGCAAGCTGGAGACCTTGACGACCTCCCTGAGAGCACCCGGAAAAGTACGAGTACTTGGGAGCGGTTTTGTAAAAGCTCGTGGCTAGACTTTTGGCAATGACGGAAGCATCGTTGAGCGAGACCGTGGCGAGATTCTGAAGGAGGTAGAGATTGACATTGCCCTCGCTGAGCAGGGCCCAGTTGGTAGGATAGACGTCTGATCCCAAGCCAGCGTCGGTTCCCACGGTGGCATAGCCCTCGCCCACGGAAGCCATCATGCCCATCAAACCGGCAGTGTGCAGGCCAGCCTGCCATCCAGCACCGCCAATGTGCTGCAGTCGGCCATTCCAGGTATCCGAGGGGAGCCAGACCTGTACGTGGACGCTATCATTTTGCCCCGGGTGCGTATAAGTGACTGTAATGTTGCAAAAGTTTACATTGGACACGGTGACTGCTCCATGATTGGTGTATAGCCCTGTGTGAATGCTTGTAGAATAATTGGCGACAAACTTTGTTTCCAGTGATAGAAACTCGGCACCAAATAGATCCGGATAAGAAAAGGATGCCGCAGAACAGGCGCAGGAAGGTATAGTGCTGTTAAAGAGTGACGGTATCATGGTCATACGTGAGCAAAGAGCGAAGGGAAGCTGGGTTCTTCAAATTGGTTAATTTTCCAATTCTATTGTACCGCTTCGGCGCTCCCTATGTTCTTAAATACTTGGTCGCTCAGTCACCTTTGTTGGTAATAGCTCTAGACTATTAGGTCGTGATATTTTGATCGTGGATAAGTAGATGATTTCGCCCACATCTTGCACAGATCTTGCACAGCCTACCAGCAAGGGCAACATTGATGTGCTGATATTCTCATTCATCTCGCCGATAGTAGGCTAGGGTAGACTTCATGTAGCGGGTCCTCGAGCAACCAATCAATAGTAGTCAAATACGCGTACCGTCAATCTCGGCTCCGTAGGACAAGCGAAACCTGTGCATTTGAGAGTGGAGCTTCGTATCAGAGCCCGTTCGATTGGCTAGTATCGTGGAGTGAACAATTTGTTAAGAATTGTTAGGCTGCAATACGAGAATATAATGTATATTTTCGAGTGGAACTAATGGGCCAAGTAGATGAGGATCCGTGTACTGTACTGGCACTTGGACCGGCATGAGCTATGCTACAAAAGTGCGCTCATGCGTTACGAGTAGTGAATTTGATTGTAGATCTTAAACCTTGATAATAGCAAAATTATCTTTCCTTAAAATTATACCGAAGACCATTCCACGTGTGTGATATGTCTGTATTTTCACAATGCGTAAAGTACCACTCGGCTAAGCCGGGGGGTCGAGATGTTCTATCAAGCTTGTTCAATCTGAGTACAATTGCCATTAATCTTGGTCGAGTATCGTCCGAGGTAGGTCTAGCCATTCATCCCAGTAGGAACCAAGATATCCTAAAATTGGTCTTACTATTTGTCGACCAGCATCACCAAAAACCCAAAAGTCGCGATCAAAGTATAGTAGGACCGCCCAATGAGCGAGAATAATCAGAGGTATGGGCTGTCGTTGTTCGAGTAACTCGATAAATTCGGCCGAAATTCGAATGGGCCAGGCTAGTATAATGTGTGTAGGAAAAGGCTCTGGAACCGTACGCCGTACACCAAAGACCCAGTGCAAGACGTCAACCGCCTCCTGACACGCCTTGAACGACCCTGCGCCGAGCTTGTCGGTCGATGCGTGGACCAGCTTTGATAGCTTGCTGCATTCATTGTCAGTGTCTCCGAGTTGTTGACGATACAGCTGATCACCAGCTTCGATGGCGTCCATGATGCGACTGATTCCAGAATGACGTAAAATGTGCCAGCTCTGGCCGGTGACTGCGCTCACGCCGCGGTGTAATTTTAGGTAATGGATTGTCTTGTCGAGTATACGATTCGAGTCCGTACAAGAAGCTACGGCGTCAAAAAGAGTATGCAGGCCGGTAAGTGATGAGAATATGAACAAGGCCATGCAGTTCTCCTCGCGCACATTGTGCTTTGTTGCATTGAACAGGGCCAGAGCACACGTCTGCAATTCTGCTGCTTGCTGTAGATAATCTGCCTTGCTCGCGTCGTCGGATTGCTGTGTGCTCAGATGAAGCGCAGAGAATGCGAGCAACGCATGCATGAGGAACTGTTCCGCCACGGCAGTCTTGAACACGGCGTCAAACAAGAACTTGGCGGCATCGTCACCCGCCCATGACATCAAATTCGACGACTTCGTGCCATAGCTTTCGAGATGATGAAGCAGGACGAGGTGGCGCACGTCAAAGCAAGGCTGTGGCCGAGGCACTTGGCCTGGAATCTGCTGGCCAGCATCAGTGTCCACAACGTTGATCGCAGGCGTGGGCGCCTCGTGCGAGAGAGCCGCTGGAGAGGCCGCCGAGCATGAGGACGCAGGTGGTGTCGTGAGAGGCAGAGCTGCAGTGGCTCGCGACGATGGGAGACGCGCAGGATACAAGCTCAGGAATGAACACTGCCGATCTGTTGCGCTGCAATTTCCGCATGTTGGGCGTCTCTCGTCGCATTTAACATGTCGTTGCTTGCATTCTTCACAACCGTAGGTGTGGTGAGCATTGACGACACGGTAGACTGGGTGACTGCAGGTTGCGAACCTCGACATCCATTTCTAGATTTCCTGTGCGTCTGGCGCAACCGAGTAGCGTTCGTCATGATGCGAGGAGAAGCTGCATTACCGGCAGCAGTATGACAGCCAATGGTTGTTGGGAGATGGGTGATGAGTGAAGAGAAGAAAGATGAGCGGCGCCGACTCCACATCATCAAGATGGGAGCCGCCAATTTTGGTCAATCAGTAGGCCTGCGCTAGGGGTAGCTCAGCGGCATAACAGTGGCTCGAGTGGCTACTACAGCTGCTTAGGCGTGGGCCATGCACTAAATTCTGGTACTTTGCACCTACTAGGTAGAAAAGAACAACACAGCACAGTGCTTCAGGCAAGTTTCAATTGACTGATAACGCATAACTTTCATTCATATCTTGCTATCCTATTTTTCGGATCAAACGTCGAAGTAATGGCATCTTTTGGTAACCTCAGCGGTGTAATGATATTGCTGGTGCCTGTGTCTAACATTTGAGGTGAGCTAATCTCGGGCTAGGTATTCTGGATGCATCTTTTCATTTCTCAAGCTGTGGTTTGGCTTCAGTACCAGGCAAAACGCTTTTGCGGAGAAAGGTGAACACGGATCGATAAGACCATTGATCAAGCCAAAGAGAAACCAGGAATCAGTACAGCTGGAAAAGACAGAAAGGCATGAAAGCAACGGTTGGCATTCGAGAGATGCCCGATTGAAATGTCTGCTTCGAAATGGCATGTGAACCGCCATAATTGAAATAGGGGCCAACTGGACATTTCTGAGCACCATGGTATTCAAGCTAGAATTACAACTACCTGGGTATGTAGGTACTATGTATGTGATCTGGGTGCGCAAAGTACCGAGCATCATAGGGCCGCCTTTGAGGCTATGCAGATCCGAACAGACAGGGAACCCAGCTCAAACCCGAAACTAAGAAAAAGGGAAAAAAAGCTGGTTCCCAATCAGCACCCCAAGTATACGGAATACCCGGTCGTATCGCAAGCAGTGCCGGCCTATCACAGCCAATCAGCGCTCACTGAATACGGAAGATTATGGCCGCCTAGGTGGATACTAGCTAGGTACTATCTAGTGGAACTGGTCGTTGCACTGCTTCTGGTTTATTGAAAGGTTTTGTGAAAAGGCCGAGCCCTTTGCTCCTATATATGATCATGACTGATAATTGTCTTTTATGGTTGTGGGTCTGCATTCTATTTTCATTCGCATACTATATTGCTGTCAATAAAATTGAATAGTAAATTCTCTCTCTCTTTCTCTCTTTTTCACTTGTCAATATCTGCAGTCATGTCCACCATCTGCAACCCGGATTGGCGAAATGCCACCTACAGCTTCTATCGGTACGAACCATCCGTAGCAGCAGCAGTCATCTTCTGCTTGCTATTTCTCGCCTCATCACTTCTCCATTTCTGGCAAATGTATCGCACAAAGTCTTGGTTCCTGGGCGCCCTGGTCGGTGGTTGTTTTAGTAAGTTGCAGACACAGCCCGAAATTTCATCAGAGTGCAACTGCTAATCTGAATCGTTTTGCAGCTGAATTCATCGGCTACGCTGCCCGGACTGCTTCTGCGCGACAAGAACCCGGCTGCTGGAAAATGATGCCGTACATTATCCAGAGCGTCTTCATTCTCCTCAGCCCGGCATTGTTCTCGGCTTCAATCTACGTTATCCTGGGCCGCATTGTCAAGTTGACCGACGGAGATGCCCATGTCCTCATCAAGAATCGCTACATTACAAAGACGTTTGTGACGGGTGATTTGATCTGCCTCTTCATGCAATGTGCTGGTACGTGTGACCCGGAATCAGATTGCACTTGATTTGCCTGCTAATTGGTTGTATTAGCTGGCGGCTTGATGGGAGGCTCTCGGGCGCTACCCGCCTTGTACAAGATTGGCAATGGTGTAGTCATTGCCAGTCTGATCCTCCAACTCATATGGTTTGCCTTTTTTGTCGTCGTTGCTTTTGCTTTCCATCGACGAATGGTCATGGTGCCCACGGCTGCAGCACAACGGCCCGACGTCCGGTGGCAGAGCTATCTCTATACTCTGTACATTGTCAGTTTCTTTGTCATGGTACGCTCACTCTTTCGGGCGATTGAGTTCATCGAGGGCAGTACTGGTTATCTGCAAAAGTCAGAGGCTCTCTTTTATGTGTTTGACTCTCTTCTCATGTTTCTTGCGGTTATATATCTCCATTGGAAACATCCTAGTGAGATGGGAGCTCTGCTTCGAGGCGAAGAGCCTTGCACGAATGGTCTAAAGCTTATCAGCATCAAGTCCATGAGTAAAGGACAGGAGTATTCCAGTTGTTAATTTAAAGGCGGTGTCTTTGATGTGGGTAAGAACCCGAGGACTTGCTTGGTCTTGCAAAGGTGGAGCCTGAGACGGATCGAAGGAGATCTACCGCTAATATACTTGGAGCACTGTGCAAATCAAAAGTTTCATGGCTACAAATCGTGTTCTCATGCTATATTTGTGAGCAACTGGAGCCAATGACCATGATCCTTTCAATATTCAACCCACACATCCCTTCCAGATGGCTGTTGCTAATTGCCGTGATATCGATCTATGTACTGAAGTGGATCGGAAAGTATGATGTTAGCTGTTCTCGTCCTACGGATAATCATAAGCTAAAAAAGCTTAACAAACATGTCTTCAGGACACGCCGCCCCAAAGGCACAGTAATTGATTTTCCCCGCTCCTATCCTCCGCGAAATTCCATTTCTCGTCATCAATAGCAGTACCTCGTAGACGTCAAACACGCCAACACCATTGAACCTGCCGTGGTCCCAATGTGGATCGCCATCCTCATTTCGAGGCCTTGAATATGGCTCCGCCTCCTCGCGCGGTACTATGACCGTACTAGGACCTCGATTCCACTCCTCGTCAAAGATAAAGTCCTGGATAATGCGTGGCTCTATATTCCAATAGGAGTCCCACCCTCCCGGTGGTGGCGGGACATGCGGGAGGCTTCCACGAGTGATGGCAGCTAAATGATACTCGTAGCCATCGTCCACAGCCGGGAGATCTTCGTCATTCAGAATCAGAAAGCCCGCACGATACCCCTGGTGATACACAATACGCTGCCATGCAGGGCGATAGTTGGCTGAGCGAGACTCATCATTGATGCCGAGCTGCATGAACTGATCTTCAAGCTTCATTTTGGAAGCGGTCTTCTCCATGTCGCATGGGACAATTGGGACAACGTGAGCATGAAACAGAAGAACATCATTCATGTCAGGAAGGTCGGCAATGTCCTGTCCCGGAAGAGCGACTGGATAGGTGAAGCGAACTCCCGGATAGGCATCATGGCAGTAGATGTGGCGGTTGTACACTTCGTCGTGCTTCACCACCCATCCGTCCTTGTCTTTGCCATTGACGAAGCGCAGGTCATAAATATTGAGCTCTCTCAGAAGTAGCCTGGCATTGTCGAGTTTCTCCTGGTAGTCTCGAATTTCCTCCTCTGTTCTTTCTTCTTCTTTGAACCTCTCCATGAACCAGGCTGGCGTCTCCCTAACAAACCATCGTATTACTGATACGGAGTCCCACAGGATAGAGTTCTTCCAACCCCTCCCATGGTAGGAAACAGAACCCCGCCAGCCTGCCCACGACCAGCTCGGGAAAATCACCCTGTTGTCTCGGACTCGGCGCTCCAGAGGTTCTCTAGCATGCCAAAGCAGGGCTTGTTCAAACGCAAAGGACGGCAAACCGGACCAGAACTTGGTATTGATTCCCCGCCGGACAAGATGCTCCACACCAGCAAATGCATTTACAGCGTCGGATTCGAAACTCAGTTTCCGCTTTGTATAATCATCCACCGCATTTCGGTACAGATCCCATGGTGTCGAGTCATCAGTGTCAGTAAGCGAACCCATGAAGCCACGGGGTGAATCCACAATTATGTCAAACACTGGGGCAATCTTTCTTTGCTCCTTCACAGGCATTTTGTAGTATGCTTGCATATCAATGTCCTCGGAAAACATGATGCTGGAGCCGGCATCTCGTGTCGTGAATCCCTTGTTGGGAAATCGTCCCAGCGACGAGTGTGACCAGAGCAGAGACATGATGTCGGACTTTGCCTGGTTCTCAATCGCCGAATGTTGAAATGCAGGATCCGGTGTCGGGACAGTCTCCTCGAGCATCACGGCACAATGGATGCATTTGAAGACCATTTGCGAGCGGGTAAAGTGGACAGACCTTGCAGAAAGTGCCTGCTCTTGAAAGGTCCAAGCCCGCGAGTTCCATGCCGAGCCCTCGATGTCTAGGATTGGTTGGCGCGGATCGTGAAGTCCTACAGCCAACGTCATGCCCTGGAACTTTGCCACATCCTGGGCAACGGAACGATCTGCAGTGCCTATACCGGGCAACCCCTCGTGCGGGTTTGCATGCGCAGAAGCGATGATGGTCAAGGTGGCGCTGCTATAAATTGGACCCATTTTTGGTATTATTTTCCCCTTGTCCTCGGGGTCATCTTGGAGGATACATAGAGCATCAACCCACAGATACCGCAGACCTGCTTCTTTGACAACTTTGATGGCGTCCTGAATTGTCGGAGGTAGAGAAACTTCTCGCAGTCCATTCAGGGCTTCCAGGCCGTCTCTTGTGGTGGTGGTGTATTGCACCTGACTCCCGTCTCCCCAGACATAAGACAAGCAGGCGTACCGAAATGGAGCGTCAACCTCACGGACACGAAACTCGTCCGTGTCGATAACCCGCAGAGACACCATGTGAGACTCGAGACTATTCTCGGTGGAATGATGGGTCTCCTCACAGATATGGAGCCACTGCCTGAGCCGGCCCATGTCGGCTTGATCTTGCTGCACAATTCTTCCTGCCAAAGGCTGCTGGGAATCTTGTTCGATTCGTTGTATCACGAACCTATCGACTATCATTCCTTCCACCTCGACCTCAATCTCCAGTCTCAGACAGTATTTCGGCCCCTCATCAATCACGTTGATGAAGAATTGACCGTCTTTAATGCCATCTTCCTCATTTGGGTCCACTTTCCCCCCCTCGATGATCTTGCGCCGCAGTAGTCCGCAGAAAGCACAGGTGTTTCCCTCGCCCTGCATGATTTTCCAGAGGCCGTGAAGATTGATTCGTGTAGGCATTGATGGCACACTATTACCCGGAAGTTCACGCTGCGTAAACATTGCCTCAAAGTTGAGATGTCGACACATTTCGCAGAGGTACCCAGGATCATCCTCCGGGAGAACTTCTGGATCGGTGATGAACCACTCGTCGTCCAGCCGGCCTTTGTCGCTGAGCGGTGTCCATTCCTTGACAAAGGAATAGTGCTTGTACTGTCCAAATCGATCGCGCTGCTCTTGAGTAGCCTTGGCGACGATGCGCTCCTCGCTCTCGCCGTCATTAGGGCGGATGGTCAGACGCTCAAGATCTCTTCCCGAAAGTACATTCTTGTCGTATTTCCTCTCCTTGCGAGCCTTTCCCAGCGCTTTGGTGGCTTTAGCACCGCGCCGTTGGTATAGGTCAGTCAAGTCACTGCGGGAGGCAGCTGCCGCAGTGGTTGTTAGCTGTTCCGAGGTGTCATCTTCTGGCGAGTCTGAAGCTGTCGTAGCGTCGGACATGTTGGTCTCTAATTTGTTTCCTGCTATTCACTTGGTGGTTGTTTTCTGGACACGTTGTTCACAGGCATCATTCGAAATTGACTAATTGGTATCGTATTTTTCAGCTGCACAAACTGACCGCCATGTCTGAAGTGCCGGCAAATAAGCGAAATCCTGCGGGCTTCGTATGTCGTCGCATTTGCACAGCCCGTGGCCCGTGCTCCCTAGGTCTGTCACGGTGATGACAGAACATTATATACTGCTGGCTGCCGCCTGTTCCAGGCGCATGTTGGACTGGTTATATTGGTAGTTGTTGCTGATTGCCTAAATAAGGGTTTCGACTAATCTCCTGAGCTTTTGAAATCAACAAACATGGTTCCAGGCGCATGAAATCGGCCAAGTTCATGAAAGAATCCGGTATGTGTGAAACGCCCTGGACGCTACAGGACCCCCATTGAATCTTCCCTACAGGGAGTGTTGAAAGGGTAAGATAAGCCCCAATTCTGAAAGAAGCTGTCTCAAAGCTGTGCTGCTCACTTGGCAGTCTGCGCAATTGAATTGAGACTCATATCAGTTGTTATTTGCTGCATCTAGCGCCAAAGCCTTCGTGTTTTCGAGTTCGTTAAAGATCTTTCCTATCCTCTCAACAGTTTATGGTGGTTGAGACTAAGCTAAGGCTAGGTACGAACAATGTAGCACCTACCACTATTTCCAGCAGCGGTGTTAGCGCGTCAGTGCTCCGTAGCTGTACAATCACCCGCTGCACTACTATATAGCTCTGGAGGTTTCTATTCGCAATGGGACAGCCCGCGGCGGCGAGATACTCTCGTACGCAGCCATGAAATGCAACAATAGCTCCTCCTCATGTTCTTTCCCAATGACGCACAAGCCAAAAGGCCGCCCATTGTAGTCGAGCACGCCAAGCGGAACCGTAACATGGGGATATCCTGACGCCGGATGTCAGTCACGTTGTACTTATCGTGGACGGAAACAACTTACCAGCTACAGCAGCGTGGATGCACAGCGGCGAGTCCCCAGGGGTAACAATCACGTGGACTTTTTCTCTATCAAGGACTTCGTTGATGATTGATTTGCCCAGTTCGCGAAACTTTTTCTTCAGTCGAGCCAGATCTTCACCGCCTTCTGTCGTGTTGAGAGCCTGTATAAGCTGATCTTGTTCTGGATAGGCTGGATGATTGTCAGTGGTGGGTGAATTCGTCTGTAGGGTCTCCACATACGCTCTGGCATGGCTGTACTCTTATTTCGTAGATTGAAGTCGACGATATCCTGAAGACTGGAAACTGGACAGTCATCAAACCCCTCTATAAAAGCTGGAATACCCAAGTTTTTAAAGTCCGAGTCTAAAGAATTGCCCTCATTGTCAGTAGAAGTAATGGTGAGACTGGTCTGTTTATCTTACAAGCGATGGGCATTATCGCATCTTTGCCATCAACTTCTAAAGCCGATAATTCTGCAATCTCAATTGGATACTTCACTGCGCCTCCGTTCTGCTCAATACGCGCAACAGCGGCTTCGTACACTCTGATCTATAGAGTGTTAGTCGCCATTGGAGGAAATATAAACTCGCAAAAGAATGTTACCATCTGGGCTTCAGTGCCTTCAAATTGTTCGCACATTGCTTCTGCCATTTTCCACTTGTTCGGATCCACAAAGCCAATGGATAAATCTTTCAGATTTCTATCCCTAGCTGATTGTAGTGACCGGCCCAGTAGAATCTCGGATAAACTGATCACATCTGCTGCGCACTTGCCCATGGGTCCCGGTGTGTCAAAGAACTCTGCCATTCGATACATGCCTGCTGCGTCTTGGACGCCATGAGTAGGCTTTAGGGCGAAAAGTGCTGTGCGGACTGTCGGAGTCACGATCGATCCAATCGTCTCGCCAGCCATGGCTAGAGGACTGTAACCTGCGGCAACTGCTACAGCGGATCCAGTCGATGAGCCTCCCGGTGCCTGGTTTCCACGTAGGTCAGTTGGGGGGGTTCCGCACGCCAGCGAGTTGGCCAGAAACGCACCGAATGGCCCAAGAGCCGCTCATTTGGCTTGATGGCTCCTGTGTAAGGCGATATTGTCTGTCCGCCATACGATGACCATCCAGGCATCATCTTTATTGTCTTCATACCCGCAAATTCCTAGATGGACGCAGTGTTAGTGCTACTGCATGCCCCTCGTTTTATCCAAACACCAACTCACGGTCATGTTACCCTTTGCTATGATAATTAGTCCAGCATCAATCAACTTTTGTACGATTACGCCATTCTTGGACGCTGTAGCCCCGGCAAACACGACGCTTCCAGCAGTAGTGGTCATGCCCAGCTCCGAGGCCGTAATAAAACAATCCTGTCAGAGTAAAATCATGAGCTTCAACTTTCGTGTGTTTACACAGGTTAAACATACTTTGAGCACGATAGGAATGCCGTGCAAGGGGCTTCGTATATGACCTGCCCGTCTTTCATCATCCAAAGCTGCTGCAATATGTAGTAGAGTCTCCCGCGGAGCGACAGAAATCAAGGCATTGAGGACGGCTTCATGGCGTTCAATTTGTTGGAGGCACTGCTCAATTATCTGCACGCTCGTGATCTTGTTAGACTCCAGCATGAGCTGCAAGTCCACGGCATCGGTCGTCAGCGGGTCAAAGCACGAAAGAGTCATGGTGATCTATGATTCCTGCAACGAATGACTAGCTCGTCACCACGTCTCATGTACACGGAAATCAATGAAGCAAGAGAAGCAAAAAAAGACGAGGTAAGTATTGGCGCATTGAAGAATACGATGGTTTCTTGGGAGCCTAGGACGGGGTAGCTGCGGCACAGGTAGCCATGGATAAGCATAACGCAACCTGTCGCTTGCTTATCATCACCCATGTATACTAGTGGGGCCTGTTTCCAAAGACGTCTAGTATATCTTGTACCAAAAAAACGCATCGGCACTGCTCTTTTTGTCACAGTTCTCGTTATAACCGATTTTTTTTTTTTTTTTAGTCGTGAGGATTGAGAAGCGTACCACCTTCTCTATCAGGATTAAACGGCTCATTGCCGCCTGGGATCAATTAGTTTACCATGGTGAAAGCTGAACAATATTGATGTAGTATGGAGTGTCATGTTGTCGATTTGGCAAAAGGTTTGCTAACAACATATAGAGGAAGGCCACAGGCCAAAGTGATTCAAGCCTCATTCATACCGTCGGCCGGACCAGAATCGGATTATGCTTCGAATTGAAATATTGCTATAACATAACATCTAACATAGGTATGTTATTGGAATTGAAAAGGGCTATTGTGATATTGTGCATACTTACGCTAGGGTCCGTGTTTTAAAAGTGTTAGGCTCCGGGCCGTACCTTGCCTTAACCCTAAACTGCTGAGCCGCCATGCAACCACCCCAAACCCTAGCACTGGGCTGCTCACCATGTATACCACACATTGCTTGTTACATGCCCGATCAACTATTGGAGATTATAATCATTGTGTAAACTAAGTAAACCCATCGAGTCGGCAATTTTGACAAAGTCGGGGGCAAGGCACATTTGGGGGATTCAATGTTGATTTGCATGACACCATGCCAAGCCTAGAATGCTATTAATAACTTAGCCTACCGCCACATCGCTAAATGGAACGCCTTGTACGATGCAACAAGGCATTCACTCATTGAACTTGCTTCTACAACGCCATGAGGATTAATCCGGGCGAGATGACTGAGCACTTTGCTCTCTACGACTCCACGAGTACCTTCATAGTTGTAAAGTCTTATCACCTGTTCTCTTTTGTGTTGCCTGTTACATCATGCTTGTGCCAGGCAGCCTGGTGGGGGATAAGGAGGGATTCGCGCAAGGCTCTGATGACCACTATCTCATTTCAGCCACGCACAATTTGCCCATGAACCAAGCCACAAATTGAATCCTAATAATAATGGACGACAGGCATGCGCGAATCTGACATGTTCCGCCCTCTCTCGCTCCATGACATCATGGGGAAGATAGGGCTTTCTTAGCTTTTGGCGATGTCCTTAAGAAGGGCGGCTGTTCCTCCAATGGATGACTTGTTGTTACTCGGCACGGTGATTTTCAGTTCCACTAACAGGTACCATAAAGTTGCCGCTTCTGAGAATCACGCTTCAAGATGCATCATTCTGCGCTCGCCTCTGCGCTCTTGGCTGGCACGGTCGCGGCCTGGCTTCCCCACGACCGTGATTTGCAGGCCTTTAACCAGACGGCTCGTTTCGAGCATTTGGGAAAGCGCTTCGAGCCTTCTTTGCAGGAGGGCATCAACAAGATTCGGGGAGTCAACTTTGGCGGTAAGTCCATTCTTTCACGCGTGTATGGCTTCGCGGTCAGTCGACTGACTCTGTCACACCAGGTTGGCTCATCTGTGAACGATGGATGATGACAAATGAATGGGACAATGTTATGGGATGCTCAGGCACAGAGTCCGAGTTTGACTGCATGCAAAAGAATTACCCCGGAGATAAGCGAGACGCCGGCAACCAGAGATTCGAAACCCACTGGAAGACATGGATCAATGCCGACAGCGTACAGTCCGCCCACGATGTCGGCCTGAACACCATTCGTATCCCCATCGGATACTGGTCGTACACGGACATCGTCGACAAGGACTCCGAGCCCTTTGCCGACGGCGACAAGATGTTGCCTTACCTGGATGCGGTAGTTCAGAGGGCTGCTGACCTTGGCATGTACGTCATCATGGACTTGCATGGTGCCCCCGGCGGTCAGCAAGAAGATGTCTTTACGGGCCAGAACAACGCTCCCGCGGGCTTCTACAACGACTACGACTTTGAGCGTGCCGAGGAATGGGTGTCGTGGATGACGAAGCGCATTCATTCCAACCCTGCATACTCCACCGTGGGTATGATTGAGGTTCTCAACGAGCCCGTCTCGATGCATGACAAGGACAACCGATACCCTGCGCCAGGTCAAGTCCCCGGGCTTGTGCAAAAATATTACCCTGGTGCACTAAAGGCTGTTCGCGACGTAGAAGCTTTGCTTAATGTCCCCGAAGACAAGAAGCTTCATGTGCAGTTCATGTCCAGCAAATGGGACTCTGGCAACCCTCGCGACAACTCTGACGTTGCCAGCGACAAGTCCACTGCTTATGACGACCACAACTACATTGGCTTTGCTCTAGGAGACAACAATGGCGACCAGTCTGCTCTCATGCGCAGTGCCTGCACGGATGACCGTGTCGTTGACGGCCAGGATTTCGCCATCACTGGTGAATGGAGCATGACTTCAGATGTCGACCCCGACGATGCCGACTTTTTCAAGAAGTTTTTTACTGCCCAGCAACAGCTGTACGAGAAGCCAGGCATGAGCGGCTGGGTCTACTGGACTTGGAAGACGGAACTGAATGATCCTCGATGGACGTACTCTGATGCTACTGCTCGCAAGTTGGTTCCTACCGACGCTGCGGGGCTTGAGAAGAATGTATATCAGGATGTGTGTGCCGAGTACAAATAGATAATGGTGTAGATGAATTACTTCATATCTTGATTTATCTGTCCTTGAGCTTAACACGATGTACTTCAGGCAACCATCTCCAAGCAACACATCAACGACTATTATGGTCAAGCTCCACTGTCTTCCTACTGGAGTGCCTGTTCTCAAGATGGTCGACAGTCCGCGACGATCGCCTAACAGTTTCCAACGGCATACGATGGCATCATTGCCGCGGCCCCCGCTCTCTACTGGGCCGGTCTCGCCGTCGGTTGCAGCTGGTATTTCTTCTACATGGACCTCACTGAGCAATTACCTCGCGGCTGCGAACTCAACTATCTCACGTCTCAGGCCATTGGCGTGTGCGACGGACTTGACGACGTGATTGACGGGCTCACCGCTGAGCCAGAATTGTGTCGCGATTCATTTGATCCATCAGTCTACTTTAGGGGCCCACTGGTCGAGAAACCTTGGCCTTTTGGTACGCATACTACGTCCAGCGGGATCCATACTCGAATATTACGACTCTCACGCACAGCCAGTACGTCGACTCGTTCCGTACTCTTCTCAAGGTCTTTGCTGCTTCCATGGAAGCCGCCGAGCCTGGCCTCTTTGACTTTGCAAATGCCGGCGGAAAGATGATTACCTTTCACGGGCTCGTGAGTAGACTCACCTTACTTCCTTTCCCAGTGACTTACTCCGGCTGTACTAACATATTCCAAGGCGGACCCGTCCATTACTCCTGGTAGCACTCTACATTACTACCAGCGAGTCAACGCGACAGTCGGCAACGTAACTGACTTTTATCGCTACTATCGAGTCCCTGGTCTCGGCCATTGCTGGGGAGGCAATGGCGGCCAGCCCGTGGCATTGTTTGATCAGTTGCGCCTCTGGGTTGAAAATGGTACTGCGCCCATTGTCAGTCCTGTCGAAATCGCCTGGACAAGTAACTCGACGCGACAAGAGATCATCTGTCCATACCCGCAGCGAGCCATCTATCAACAGAATTGTTCGGTCCAAGAGACTGAATCGTATGGCTGCTGGTTTGTGAATAAGGACTGCTGAGAGGAAGCATCACAACTTGGAAGACCCCCTATTCACCAATCCTTTTTTGATTCGTTCCACTGTAGACGATGTATACAAAGTCTGACTATCCGCTGTGATCAATACTATCACGGTACAATACAAAGGCTTCAGTCGGAGTTCATGGCTTGCATTCTAGTACACCACACTCAATACCAGGTTGTGAACGAACTCAACAACCAGATTCTATACATGTATGATTTTATTTTTCTGATTATGATTTAACACGACCTGATATAATAAACCAAGCCTCGGATCGTTCTTGAAGTGGATAGCATTTCCAACTGCACCACTGAGGAAAACAAACACCAGAGATTCCACATTACGATTGATTACACGCATACTAAATCAACAAGGCCCACCTTCTTCACTACTTTACCTGGTTTGAGCCCAAGGTCTTGAAGTAACTTATTCCTCGTCATCGTCATTATCATTGTCGTCATCTTCGTCATTATCGTCATGGATTGATATTGTGTCATTGGGCTCGCTTGCGGATGATGCGCTGATGGACTCGCTAACAATTTCGCTCGAAGCGCTTGAATGCTCCGAGGGTGTCTTTGTAGTGTACTCTGGCCCATTGGCAGTGAATTCGTGATCTTTATCGTGGAGGATGCCCCGTGAATTATAGCACTTGTAGCACAGATGAAAGTCCTTGCACAAGCTACAGGCATACTGGATGCCAGAAATGTGCTAGACTTTTGTGTCAGCTTGTCTTAGTTTCACAAGATGTGATTGATTGCGGGTATACCAACATGAAAGCAATAGTCGCACCATGTTCTCCAGCTGTTTAGAACACGCGAAACTGGAAGGTCCAGCACTTCACTCTGATTGTCGAGGGCGTCCAGGGCGTCTGGAATCTTCGGTATCAGAAGATCAAGGACATTTTCAGGACGGCCATGGTATTTTGCAATATCCAGCGGCGTCCATTGTCGATCTGGAAGCGTAGTCACGACCCTCAGTCGAGCATGGTCTACCAGAAGCATTTCAAGGACTTTGTACTGAGTCTCTTCGTCAACTTGTCGAATCTTCTCAGTTGCGCCGCAGCCCCTCGCTGCCCAGCACAATGGAGTCCATCCGTCTTTGTCTTGTTGATCAAGGCATTTCTTGTCAACCTTCTCCAATATCCGATCGATTACCTCCAGACTACCACCCTGGATGGCCCAAAATAGGGCATTCCGTCCAATGCAGTCTACAGATGTGGGATCTTCGCCCGCATCAAGGAGTAAATCAACCCGGTCCAGATCGCCACGCAATGCTGCATAATGTAGTGGAAGTCGGCCCATCACGTCAACAACTCCTGCTTGACCCCCGCGTGATAACACCAGATTGAGCATAGCTACACTACCACCAAAGGCTGCAGCTCCAACGATACTGCCAAACATATTGGCAGTTGCTGCGATGTCTGCGCCTGATTCAAGCAGCAAATCAATCAGACAAGTCTTGAGCTTATCATCGTGTTGATTTGATTGTTCCCCAGGGCCAGTGAAAACGGACATGAGTGGCGTGCCAGCCATGCGTGGGACAGCTAGATCAACATCCGCACCAGCCTTGATCAAATCTTCAGCAATTTCAACCTTGCCATAGTAACATGCAACATGAAGGGGCCCACCCCAGTCGGGCGATGCCATGTTTACCTTCGGCTTTTTTGAAAGAAAAAATTGAACAGCTGCCTTGTGCCCAACATAGATAGCTTTCGCTAGGGGTGTGATATTATTCTTGTTGGCAACATTGATATCAGCTCCGGCGCGAACCAGCAACTTGACGTTCTCCAAAGATGTTGAGGAGTTGATCTCGTGCAGAGGCGTATCGCCCCAGTCATCCTGAATATTGACGTTAGGACGAAACTCAAGGAGTGCGCCCAGGCCAGCTTCCACCGTAGCCTTATGTACGAGGGTCGTTCCGTTCCTCCATTGTCGGTCTTTGTCCGCTCCACTATCGCACAAGGTTCGAATCATATCAGCTTTGCCGAATGTTGCTGCCCATTCCAAAGGTTCCCACTTATCATCAAAGATTTCGGGGGGGTCAATGACTGCCCCGTGATCAATCAAAAGTCTTGCAGCCTCAACACTGTTGTCCCTTACAGCACTCATGATTGGGAGTTCCTCGTTCTCGGGAGCAGCGTTCGGGTTTGCGCCTGCTTCAAGGAGCAACTGTATGATCTCGGCATTGCCCCGCGCCAATGATAGAGGCGTCCAAGTACTACCGAGGACAGGTTCCAACTCCACGTCTTTCTCTTCTAGAAACCGGCGGACAAGCGCTGTATCACTTTCCGTCACTGCTATCTCTATAGGCCTTGCCCCTTGCAGGCTTCTTCTGTTGACGTCTGCCCCGTTGCGAAGTAACAGGTCTACAACATCAAGATTCTCCGGGCGTTCCAGCCAGCTTGCCTGGATGAGTGGAGGATTATCGACAGAAGCGACCTCATTGACATCGGCCTTATGTTCAATGAGGAGTCTCAGGATATCAAGTCGGCGATATTGATGGGTGCGAATGGCGATGGCAAGCGCACTGCCGGCAATGCTTGTCATTCCCAAATCTGCGTTGCTTTCGATGAGCAGTCGAGCACAATCCGTATTACTATTATCTATTGCCCCCGTTAGGGGAGTCCAACCCGATCGATCTGGGTCGTTAGAGGTGCTGGTGTTTGGGTTTGCTCCGAGCGAGAGCAGGATTTTGGTAGCCCGAAAGTGACCCCACAAGCATGCCAGATGCAATGGGGTTTGGAAATCATGGTTCTTGCTCTCCAAGTCTGCTTTGCCGCGATACAATAGTTCGATGACGTCTGAGCTTCCCCGCAACGCAGCAAAGTGCAATGCTGTCCATCCTGCATGCTCTTGAAAGTTTGGATTTGCACCATGCTCCAGCAATATCGTCACTATGTCGGCTTGGTTGTGACGAGCAGCGCGCATTAGGGGTGTTCTGTAGAATTTGGCCAATGGCAGTTTACCTTCCACTGGGCACTTGGCAATAATCAAGGCTCTGAGAACGCTGCTGAGCCCAATTTCAGCCGCCCGCCTCACCAAAGCTTCTTGGCTCTGCCAGGGAAAATCGGAATGATTGATCTTGATGTATTCGATAATTCGAAGCCAGCCTGACTCGTTCTCAGTCGACCCTGCCACGGTGAGAAGAGCTTTTAGAGACTTGGTTGAGTGCGGGTTACGGGACAAGAGCTCGAGGGTGGCATCAAAATGACCATGGAGGCAAGCCTCAATCATGCCTGCACCTGTGTCTTTTTCAATATCCACCAATGAGTCAGCTTGCTCGAGCAATCCAGCGCCTGCCAAGATTGGATAGATGGTCGTGTATGGCTCTTGACTCCTTGTGACCGGGTGTTCCATAGCCCAAAACGATATCAGCCAAGGCTGCATATTGGCAGATTTGACGAATAGATCGAGGTCTTGCCTTATCTCACAACCGGGATCTTCGATAGCTTTTCCAAGATGATAGAGCAAGAATTTGACAGAATAACTACACAGATTAGTGCGGTCGCAAGATACTGCCACGCGAGTCCCTCTGTGCTTCGAATCCTGATTCAACGCCATCAATCTCTCTCCCGCTACATCGCTTCGTAGATATTTGAGCAATGTCCGAGAAATGAATTCGTGGGCTTTCTTTCCATTATCACTTGAGAAGCCAAATGCGGCGCCTTCATTGACTTCAGTTGTCAAGAGATTTCGTATCTCAAGCTGCTCGATTTGAATCTCGTTATTCTCACAAGAAACGACGCCAGCAAGAGACTCAAGGACTTCATTGACCAAGAGCAACTTTGACTGGGCGGTGAAATCTTGAGCGTTCGGCTGTGCAAAAAATCCTAGGGCGTCTTCCAACTCCCCAATCGTAGGCGGCCGAGCACTGCACAGAATCCACCACAAAACTTCGCCAACGAGCTTATGATCCGAAGTGTTGCTAAGAATGGTCTCAAGAACCAGCCTCAGTGTTAGACTTTCAACATTACCAAATGTATCATGAATGGTCTTTCGTGTGGACCAGTCTTCCGCTGCCGACATGTGTCGGATGATGAGGCGACGGGTTCCTGGTTTTAGGTTCGAGATACTGTAGAATTCGAGGTCTATGTGACTTTTGTAGGAATGTAGCTCTGGGTTGTTTGCAAGAAGCGATCTTCTCAGTTCATCCTCCAGATTAGCGGATACCTGCTGTATCTCATCGATAGGCGTCTCAATATGTTTCAGATCTATGATGCCGCCATCAATACTCGATATCTCGCTTGACAAGGCTCCGGGAATGCGACTGGTAACCAAACACTTCCACTGGTAATTTTGGTACCGACAGATGTCGAAGAAGAAATCGAGAAAAATCTTCCTGGAGACTGGATCGCACTCGTCCAAATAGTTGACGACAAACGTAATATCTTGAATACTTTCATCTCCAAGATAATTATCAAACGCCCATAGGACTTCCTTGTAGTTCCAGTTGCGTTCAATTTCACGGGATTCAAGCCATTCAGTGTCCAGATGGAAAGCGAACCTTTGAAAATGCCCCGTGATCTGAGCAAGAAAGGTGGCAAGCAAGTTCTGCACCGTATCGCGCCTGGCATCAAAGCGATCAAACGAGAAATATAGCACATTATGACCGTTGTTTTCGTGACGGAGATGGTCGAGGCTATAGAATATGTGTTCGGATACCACTCTGATGTCGGTGTCACCGTGTAGGTACAGCATACTTGGGTTTTTTTGTTGACGCCAGGACTGGTATGTTTGGTTCTCAGTGATCCACGAGGAGGTATTTGTCGTGTCAAGGGCAGTCTTCAGCGGCTGAAGAGGCGAAGCAGCAGAAATCAGTGCTCGCATATTTTTGATTCTACTTTCATTCACCCCCAACTCTGCATGACATTAGTTACTCGCAGTCGACTGGGAAATTATGTCGGGCTAACATACCTAGTTGAATACCAAATAATGCCTTCTTAATCTTGGCACCACCGAGATCTTGACTGGGAAGGCGCTCGATACGAAACTCGAACGGCACTCCCATCGTTCCAGCGAAATCATCAAATGACTATGTATTTTCATTAGCAAAGCTGGGAATCCAGATTATATCAGCTGCCCCGTTGACCTACATTGTAGCTTGAACTTTTTGAGTGGTAAACGCTCAAAACGTAGGACACAAAGATCTGCTTTGACTCTAGAAACGTGTTGTTCACCTCCACAACTGCCTTTGCCAGGTGAAAGGTTGAACGTGCTAGCATTGGTAGCTCATGTCTATTATTTCCGCTGTAGAGAAATTGACATAATCTCTCTTCCATATCTAGATGATCAATTGAGCGATGAGGGCAGTGATAGAATAGCTATACCGCATGAGATTAAAATTTGTTTAATCTTTCAGAAAAGCAAAACGTACCAAGACTCGAGTAAAGTCAAAGACATCGCCGAATGACTTTGGGTCCAGCGCAGCGACAGTCAATGCCTGAAGGTTTGGTGAGCTACAGCCAGATTAGGACTGTGTCGCCCATTGACTTACATCTTTGACTATAGTACCTCCGATATCATGAGCAACAAACATTATGGGTGAACTCTTTTGTCATGAATTAGTCATTCCCAATCCTCAAATGGCAATGACGTGGTAGTAATACCGTTGTGTTCTTGAGCCTTTCCGCTTGGAGCTTGTGTAAGAGCTCAAGTGCTACGCTTCTGATCGCGGTTCGTGTATGACGTCCGGATAGTATTGTGGATGCATCGTAATTGAAGAACAGAATGTTGCTTGCCTCACGCCCTTCTTGTTCGGCCAGCCATTCTGAGTACTCGGATTCCGCACTCGGCCAAGAAGGCTTTTGTGTGTCCAGAAGTCCACGAACGATGATGATGCTATTTTCAGGTGAATTTTGCTTCTCCAGCATTGTTGGCAGGTTGGTTTCAGTGACGTACTCAAGTTGCGGCGCACCGTCTTTGTCCAGCAGTGTACCAGAACCAAGAAATGAAAGGCCTGATTTACCATGCGACGCCCATGTGGCGCCTCCAGAGGCGTTGTGGTGGTTGGGGTCAAGTGTTGGAGGCTGCTTTGTAGCTATATCTCGCAATTTCACGTCTTCAACTGGTGTCTCCGGCGTTGAAGACTCCGATGCTGCCATATCATAGGAATCTTGCTATGTGTTGTGCCCCAGTGAGCGACCCTTGAGTGAAGCTGCAAACGATGCGGCTGGTGCGAGTAGGCGTTCCAACGCGGGTGTTCCTCGAAGCTCGGCTAATCTGCTGAAGTTGGGGAGATCGAGACTCACAGCAAGTGTGTCTGCTCTCGTCGGGCACCTAACCATGGCCACGCAGCCTTATGGTTGCACCCCTCATCCGTTCTAACCCTGGTTATCCCGAGCCCGTTTACCCTGGTTGGTCGACTTCAGCTGACTAGGTAGTAATTTTTGCAGGATGCAGGAGGGTGTCGGTGATTGCTGCCTGCGACGAATGGTTACATGGATTTCCCCGCTTATTGGTAAACTGAAGTCGCACTGTATGGCCTCTCTTGTTCTTTTCCTAGCCGTGTTGAAGGTAAGTCGTCGGGTGCAAAGCTTAGAGAATACCGGTACCATGTGCCGAATAGCGAGTACCAAGTACGGGTAACTGAATCTACGTGCGATGTTCATTCTCTTTCGCAATGTTGTTCTCTAAATCAAGAGCGAGCCTTCCTCCAGCCAAAATCAGCGCTCAGCCCAATTCAATTCACGATAACAGATCACGTCCGACGCTCTTTCTCGATATGGCAAGCCAAGAAATAGACGAGGAAGCCAGCGACTACGAGAATGGATTCGAGCTTGGCTTGTTTGAAACGGGCGATGAAGGGAGTAGCTTTCGTACTCGCAACGACCCTTCAAGTCCATATCAGCGTACCAACATCACTGAACGAAGGGGAGCTATTGACATCCGCTGTGTAGCCAAGGATGTCATTCACGGCTACATGAAGGATGGAGGCGACTACGCAACACTCCTCATCTACGATTTCCAGTTCGACCCGCGCAAAAGGGGTGGGCGGATCTCATCGGTGGACATGGAGTTCTTGTATTTTTCCACTGGTGACAAACAACCAGAGGTTATTGATATTGCCCCCAAAGGTCGTATGATGCTGGCTCGTACGACTCAGAGCGACAGCATCACGCATGGTGTCGACACTTCTGCCGGCGCAGATGTGCTGGGTGCCAAATTCGACGCGACTTGGAAATGGGAGAAGACCATCAACCGCGAAAGCACTGATGCTACTAGAATTATCGGGTCCATCAACCTGAAGAATCGCACCTATGGTGCGTCCAATGCAGCATCTTGGACAATCTTGGAGAACGAGTCGGTAAAGACGGGCGTCCCTGCGCATCTTACTACAGCAATACTATTGCGACGCCACTCTGAAGAAGACGATTTTCAATGCACCTTCAAGATCAAATCGACTGTTGATTTAGCCAGCAAAATTAGACGTTTGTTTGGCTCCACTCCCCCAGACGACCCAATTCTGTATGATCCCACTCTGACCCCTACCAATCGCCTGCGTCACTATGACTTGGATAATTTGGGAGATATCAATCTTCAGGACATCGGTCTGGTTGAGTTCGAAAACAGCTAATTGAACGCTACTTGGGTCTCGGGGGTGGTATGATGGGAGGGGACCGTTGTATCCTAGGTATCTATCTACATTAGCTACTAGTTATGGGCTCTGCTTGCTGGCCCTGACGAGAATTCACTAAACGCACCTAGAGATACAGTACGTAGCCAAGTCGCCAGCACACTGTACAGCCCCTGTAGTCCGACATGTCGTGCCACCTTGGTTCTTATGAGCCAGTGCACATGTGTGCGCAAGTGAAGAGAAAGTAATTACGCCTATCTTGAGTCCGGGAATAGCAACTCCGTACCCACCCCGCTTCGTATGGGTTGGGGGCCTTACCGCTGCAGCCCCCGAGAGCCTTGCGAGTGATGATGGTCAATGGGTGAGAACATGGACCAATACCCTCAGAGTCGAATGATTGAGTCCAGTTGAGAACACCTGTCTGAAGGGTACTGTTATTTTCAACATCATATCCTTCGCAAAAACAACGGCGATTGCTCTCCGACAGCTCGTGTGCCTGTATCAATCTTGATCGAAAAGCAAAGTCGGCATCGACATGAGCGTCTCCCGTGTGGATGAAGTGTCTGTCCTTCTGGGGGCTCAGAACCGTACAGATCAATCCCCTGACGACAGAAGAGAAGAAGATGACAGCAGCTCAGGCTCAGAATCAGATTCGGAGTATGGTGCTGAGGATGAAGGTGATGAAGAGGATCCACGGGTACTCCAAGAGACCAAGGTCCAAGAGATATTCGAAAAGATCAAAGCGTCTAATGATCAGGAAATTGTAGTCGATGGGCTTGACCTGTATAAAAAGCAGGATCGCGACAAATTTATGGAGATGAATAAGGCATATCTCGACAAGGAAATAACTCAGAAGAAACGGAATCTTCTGCATCTCTTTGCCGATGAGATGTCCGAGCAAAAGTTTGCGACAAAAGTCAAGAGGCTCAAGAAGCTAATCATGGACCTGACGCGACTCTCGGCAAACCTGCTGGCAAAGAAAGACGCCCATGGGAATACCCCCGTACACTCTGCACTCCACTGGGGCAACGCGAGGCTGGTAAGATACATGTGCGAAGCACACAAGGATGCAGATAGCATTTTGAGAATACCCGTCGCAAAATCAGGGAAAGAATCGGGCAATTGCCTCCATCTGGCCATTAAGAACGGCGACCAGTTCAAGGACGAAAGAACAGGTCTTTTGGATTTGCTCATCAAGAATTCCAAAAAGGAGACTCTCTGCGCTGCCGATGAAGAGGGTTTCACGCCTCTTCATCTCGCTGTTGCAGCTCCCAAATGCGATGACGCTCAATTGGCAACTGTCAAAGCGCTTGTGGATCAATGCGATGAAGCATTGGACATCATGTGCAAGTATGGAGGAAAAGACCTTGTCTCCCCCTACCGCTATCACTTATTGACTCAAGAAGTCCTCAATAAACAACGTACAGAGTCCGAAAAGACAAGCACAAGTAAAGAAGGCTCCGAGATCAAAGGGGGTGGTCCATCTCAGTCGACGCAGAAAGATGTCAAAAAGTCTGACGCGCCAGCACCGAAATCCAAACCACAACCAACTTTGCAGGAGACAAGGAACCATGTTCCGTCCAGATCCATACAAGCTGACCAAATGGCTGCTCCAACAAGCAATATTCCTCTCGCTCGCCAACCTACTTTGGAACTGGGCACAAAGGTGCAGGGAGTGAAAAATGGTGTCACTCCATTGACACCAGACACGGACAAGAAGAAGACGCCTAAGAGGCGAAGGCAATTTGCCAAAGCAGAGCCTACTACGGCCAGCATTTCAGCAATCGGGCAGTACCTGAAAGAATATTGCTTGCGAACGCGACGTCATGACAAAGCAGTAGAGCTACTGTATGGTCTTCGCCAAGGTAAGATGGACGGCTCTTTCGCTATCCAGATGGTAATGCTAAGAATAATACAGACAAACAAATTTATTTCGATCTTTTCGATCTGAATGGAGCTAGTCACAACTGGACCAGAACTGGGTTCGTCGAGGGTTTGCGTCATCTGGTGTTTGAAGACGTGCTGCAATATGTTGCGCTACCACAGCTCAATGTGGAGGAGGAAATCCCAATGCCAAACCGGAAAACGGGGCAACGACCGCCCAAGCCAGATGGAAACGGGCGGGTAGACCTCAAGACTCTCTTCACGTGGTTGAAAGACATCAAGAAGGTCAAGGCCATTTTCAAAGTTATCGTAGATGATCTCAATGAGCCTGCTCACAGAGATGAGGCTATTGAATCATGCTTTGAGGGAATCAAAGGGATTGAGACATGGGACTGGCGGAAGTTCGACATCTCCCCAGAAGTCATTCAAAAAGTGGCGCCTCATGTGAAGGTCGTTCACCTGTACTGGAGTGGAAACAATGCTACATTGCGTGCTTGGAGTGAGGAGCGTGGCATCCGCCGACTCGAAAAGCTAGAAGTAGTGCATCTTCACGGCAAGCAGGTAAATCATACACGACCATATATTCTCCTCAAGACTTCCTGCTTATGATTGACTTCACAGGGGCTAGAAAGCAAGAGTCGAATGAAAAGGTCCATCAAGGAATTCAAGTCTGATGTGGAAACCAACACTCAAATTAGAGTCGAAGACAAGGAGATCCAAAGCGAGGCTGCCAAAAATGCCGGCAGTGACACTGATGCAGTCAAAAATGTACATGAACGGCATAAATGGGTCACGACTATGGAAGAATTTGCTGAGTTTTTGCAAAACGCTGAAGCCAACGCCGACCCAAGACTGGAGCTGCTACGTCCGGTCAAGGTGGCATTAATAGACGACGGTGTAGATATCAATGATCCGACCATACGGACCAAGGTCTTTGACGGGAGGAGTTTCTGCCACAGGGATGAAGAGGAGAATCTGAATCAGCCCTACTATGTGTCTGGTGGCGGGCACGGAACCGCGATGGCAAGCTACATCTGCAAAATCTGCCCCAACGTTCAGTTATACGTCTTAAGACTCGAGGAAAAAGCCTCAATAGAGCCTGGACGAAGAAACATCACTGCTGATAGTGCAGAAAAGGTCAGTCACCTGGGTATATTTGTGAAGATTCAACTCACGTGAGAATTTGCAAGAAGAACTCACTGCTAACAAAGTTTCAGGCGGTCACGGCCGCAATTGGAGAAGGGGTGGACATCATAAGCATGTCCTGGACAATAAATAGAACCAGCGACAATCACGGCAGCATCGAAAAGCTCGAAAAAGCCATAGCTAAAGCCGCACAGAAGAACATACTAATGTTCTGCGCCGCTACTGACCAGGGGCCCGTCAAAGATACTTCGTACCCGGCAGCAACGGCACTCACGAAGAACATTTTCAAGATTGGCGCCGCCGAGGCCTCGGGCCAGGCCATGACGTGGCTTGGGGACCCTAACCTGGTGGATTTCATCTTCCCGGGTCACCAGGTCATCAAGGAGCGGAGTGACGATCCGAGCGTGAGAATTTATACGGCCTTGGCCGGCTCCTCCGTTTCCACTGCGCTTGCTTCTGGGCTTGCAGCGGTGATGCTCTACTGTGTGCAGCTCTCGGCGATGGCTAGCAGCCAAGGACGATCGACTCCAGATCTCAGCCGATACATGTCTCTCAAAAACCATCAGAGCATGAAGAAAGCCTTCCTCCAAATCGGTACTACTCCTGAAAGCAAAAACAAGTTCATAACAGTCTGGGAACGGTTTGAAAATCCTGTCCGAGGTGCCGACGAAAGGCCCAGTCGTCCTAAGATTGACTTTGTGGTTGATTTGGCCAATGCATTGACTTGGAATGCCTCATCTCGCTAAATAATAGACACATTGCGTCAATCCGGTTGTAATTAATATGATCTCAGGTGTATATGATCTTGAACTTGGTATTTCCTTGATGCATCTCATCCCAGTCCGGTGACGGTAAGTTGAGATCCCAGAACGGCTCGGTTTATTTTTTGGCCGCTACGAGGTGTCGTGCAACTCAGTCACAACCAGTTTTCCATGATCATAAAAAATCGTGACGATACTAGACGTGGCTTTCCTATAAACTCAGTCCATTCCAAATTAGAAATTTCCAACATCGCTCATCGGCAGCGTATTCACAACCGCGACCTCTCGTATCACGTCCCGCCGTCGGTTCTATGCTCTTTTAAATTGAAGCAATTGAGCAGCAATTGATCGATTGATATAATGGCCTTTCCAATTGTGCGATGTTCTTGATAAATTATCTCGCATTATTCGTCTCGCTCTCTGCAGGCCATATAGGCACTTGCCTTTGATGACAAAAGCTTCCAACTTGGCTGTTCTCTTCAGTCCTTCGTGCTCCCCTCATGGTCCGGTATTCACACTATAATAGCAACTTCGACTCTCTTTTATTCAAATTTCAACTCTGGTTCCTCATCCCAGACCACGATGTTGTGACAAAATTCGAGCAAATCTCTGATGCGTCAGCACAAGTATGCCACGTTTTCATAATTATCCTATTCCCGGTATATGATTACCTAAATAATTCAAATAGACTCGAATATGACGCGTAGCTAAGTAGTCAACATGAACAATATACCTGGATTAGAAAGGCTCAACATGATTGGTGGGATTACACCCTGGACTGTCTGTTCGTCAACTGTCAGAAAGATGCGGTACCCCACGTGCTTGGCCCAGTGGTCCTATCTGACCAGCAATCAGTCATATTACCGGCCCGGGGGAGTGCTCAGGAAAGACCCGGTGAGAGTTCCCCAGACCCCTGCGACCGGTGAAGGACTTGGTGGTGTCGGGCTCAGCTGTCAAGGCTGAGCTGTCAGCCCTCCTGCGTTTCGAAAAGGCGAGCGCGTGACGACGGGCGGCCCAGTGGGATTTGAATACTTTGGGGTGGAATGCGATCAGCAGTGCGCACACCATCCCTCTCTCTGTCTTTAGCCCCCCCGGCGCGCCGCAATGTAACGGCCCTTTAGGTAAGGGAGTGACTGACAATTGGCACTGCTGGGCCACCCCCATCCCCCAAGAGCACATTAGTTTCCAACCCGCGGGCTTACGAATTGCCTACTGTGACTCCCAGCCATCTCTTGGTTGTCCCGGTGGACGGTATGAAAATAGACACGAAGTTGGACGAGATGAGGTGTATGGTGGTAAGATGCAAGGTCTTTTGAGATTGATGTACAAAATGGGTCTTGACGCGATCGATCCTCCTCGGCAGCTGTCGCGATGCAAGGTCGCGTAAACCTCCACGCTCACGAGTGCCGTGCAATGGACTTTTGAGACGACGACCCACTGCAATTTCGCCATCATGTTTGCAGAACGCTTGATGTTGCCCCCCTTAGAAAAGGAAGATCGCGTACAGTACGCAGGTAGTATGCAAAGGCCCAGACATGATCCTATATGCAGGGCCGAGACAGTCAACTGGCCCCGAGGAACTGGTACCAGAACGCTAAAACGAAATGAAGCTTCCAACATGCTTTTCCCAAGCGTAACGGCGCTGCAGGACATTGGGAAACATAACATCATGGCCTTTGCAAACGGCTGCTGGGGCTTTTCAAAAGTCTGGAGATGAAAATCCTTGAGGCCCCTTCCCTTCTCTGACTGCCGGCTAAAAGAGAGGATCCAATCGGGGGCCATCGCCAGCGATTCCGCGCAGCCGCACGAATGATAACATTCCGGGCGCTTTAGCCGGGACCACGAGTTACGGCCGACTCAACGTACCCAAGTATATCTTTCTACACGACGGTGCGCAAAGGTACCGAGGTGGGCAGGACCCTGGAACCACACACTCGGGATTCTCTCCAGGAGGTAGTGTACTCCTGTCAATGTAGGTGCGGTATTAGTTGATGCATGGTCACAGCGCGCATACACAGATGATCAATTCACAAAGGGCGGTGGCCATGCAAAGTGAAATTGGAACCGAATTCCATTATGGTCGGGATAGCCTTTTTTATTTTTTATTTTTTTTTTCCAATGTCGCCTCTTTGGACTTATTCTCGCCCCCCAGACTACAAGGAGCCCTGCCTGCAGTGCTCACCTGGTACCATTCAACTGGGAGTCGTGCTTCGACATGGCTTGCCCCATCCGTGCCATCCTGTATATCCTGGGGTACGCACGGCACAAGGGTGGCTTACTGTACCCGAGCTCTAGAAGGTATCCGAGTCGCCTCAGTGACCGGGATTCCGGAGCACGGTCACAAGTTCCGGGACCTTGCTGAAGAAAGAAATACTGCAGAGAAAAGTGCATGTATAAACGAAAGTATTCGTCTATTGTATCGGCATTGACGGTCATGGCGATCGGTACTTTTCATATACTCTTACCTGTATGCTACGATGACCAAACTCGAGAGAATCCCAGACGTCGAATTCCTATTCAGGAGCGATCCAAGAGAATTCGGAATCTGGAACACACGTACGTAAGCAATTGCATCTTTTCGGGTACTCCTGCCATCGCAGCTCATTGGTCATTTTTCGAGCGCGGGTTGAGCGCTGAATCATTTGTCATCTCATATCACCTTTGTTACCTCTATAGTATAACCGGATACATAAATGATTGTTCGAGGTTGCAGTCCGATCCATCTTACCGCAGACACGGTGGTGTTCCGAGTCTCACACCGGGGCGCACAAACTTATCTTGTAAAGTATGCGTTGTCTCTTCCAAAAGAAGACCTCGACACTTTGCTCGCAATGACTATCCTCCAAAGGCTCATCTGGTGGGCAGGCGCTTGAAGGAGTGAGCGCGACCCCCCGCGTTTGCTGACATGACGACCAGGAAATAATCTGCTGACAATTTTTCTGCGGCAAATGCGACAATAGGCATAACCAAAAGGGGCAGCTTGTGGAACGGCCCGTTATGGACGCCCCTCATATGATAGACAAAAGGAGAATCATACCATAAGCACAGCGTCGCTTTCGTGCTCTTCGGGGGGTGTACCGGGAGGATTGGCATTTGGGATTCTTAATTCAAAAAGGCCAAGCTCGACTATGCACATACATAATGGGGGAAAAGGTCCCCCCCAGTCGCCGTGGGGGTAAGACTGACAGTCTGGCCATTTGAGCCTGTCAGCCACCACGTGTGATGAAGCGGATTCTTTGCCGCGGGATTCACAGCCACGATTGACTTTGAAGCGATCGACCTCCTACATAATAACTTCACTGACCGCAAGGCATCATCATGATGTTGCACCAAACGAACCCAGACGGCTCCCATATGATACTGTGGTCAGCTCTTACGTGCAGCACCCGCCATCTTGGAAGCCTGCTTGCTTATTATCTGGGGACAATTGGGCGTGTACCATTTGAAACTGATAGTAAGTGATGTCTCGATAAAATCCAAGAAAATTAATGTTATTTATTTGAAATATTTTTGAATAGTTCCCAATAATCATTGTCCAATCGATGAGCTTGAAAGCACCATGCATATATACAAAGGACGGTACTCATTTTAATGTCAGCCGCATCATAATCTCGCGAATGCATTCCGGTCTCATGATTGTTGCAATCATCCCGATAAATATTGCAAGATATCAAGTTATCATCGTGAGACCCATGGCCTCGACCCTCTTTGGCCTGGCGAAAGAAACCCACGCAATGGCCACCAGGACCATCAATGATTGATAGATTTTACGAGTGCGGCCTAGTGTAACCACGACGCTCGCTTCGGCATCGGTGGCATTGGATCCCCTCTTCCATTACTGGTAACACCAAGCTGAATCAACCCGTGTGTTACCGTGGGCGCCGGTCAAGTGAGCGCCTCTGGGATGGGCGAAATCGTCAGCAAAAAGAGGTCTGGGAGCACGTAGAGGTCTCCGTAAGATGCATCTGGTGCTAGGACTACAAAGATACCCTACCTCTCATGTCTCAGGTGTGTTATATTCTTAGGACGGCAAGCAAGAAGGTCGATACGGCTTACCCCACGTGCTTATATCAACGACTATCGTATAATCTTTACTGGATGCGAATAATGAATCTCAAGCTGTGCCGTCCACTTATCATTTAGCTGCAGAAAATATGAGATTTCGTCGGAAGTTGAGAAGACTTATCTTACATTTATTCGCATGTCCGATTGTCGAATGACAGATGATCTGCCTATCAGACTTTCGACAGACTTACGTTCCTCTGCTTTGAGCAGGCCGAAAGGAAGATAGGATGTAAGATCACATGATATCATGAAACATCTTATCAGTCCGAGTGACTAGAAGAAAAAAGACATATCATAATATCAAAAGGCCAAGAGCAATAAACAGGGGAAGCTTGTGCTTCATCATCCCGAAGGATATCTGCAATCGATATTCACGGGAACTTGCAGAAATGAATCAGAACTCTGTATTTCTTGTATTGCCCTCACACTTATGCTTGGGACCAATCATTCTTTCTACCCTTGCACTTGCGCCGCATTTTGTTCGTTTAATTCTTCCCGACTGTGCCTCAATGTGTTTGACACGCCTCTCATAGCAATGCCCAGATCGTGCTCCCCATCCACCAAATGTAACAGAGCCTTCTTCAGCTCTTCACATCGTGATACCATGAGGAAATATCCGAGCGACTCGATACACGGGACGTAGCCGCAGGTGTGCCGTGTTGGGTGCATCGCCTGAGGTCGATCGTGCAGACTCGATCAGAGATTTATTTATTTATTTTTTGCCCGGAACTTTCATTTTCGTATCTTTTATTCCAGCCTATCATAGCTACTGATTGAGCAACTATGACACTTTTACCCGAGAACAATTCGCAATTTTCGTCAATATTCAACTAAAAGTAATTGTTGATATTGATCATCGATGTATACAAAGCATTGTTGGAAGCATGTCGATACAAATGTCACTTCGCACACATAGTACG